TATATATATATATATATATATATATATATATATATATATATACATAATCGCTTCTTCGACACATAATTACATTCGTATCAAATTAATAATCTAAATTTCAGCATCATAAAATTCATAAATGAATACTAATTAAACAATTGAAAATAACGATATTTAAAAATAAAATAAATATCGAAAAAAATCACAGCCATAATATGGCTGATGACCGAAGGGGACCCACGCACCAGATAGAGATTGCCAACGTGGACCTCTCAACATTTCAAATGTGGATGATTGCACCGTTCCCCGCTCACCCTCCCCCCCTTGCTGTTTCCTCTACCTCGACTCCTGTCTCCTCGATTCCCTCCGGTTCCAATGGCTGCTGTATCTGCTGCCACTTTGACGCCTTGATCCTTGAAGCCAGCGAGGCAGAGCAACTAGGTGACATACTCTTCTTCTGGAAGACTCGTTCGCATGAATGCTTCTGCAGTAGTCCTTTCGGAGTCCAATTGTAGTAATTATCAAAGCAAGTTTATACTCTCGCACAAACATGGGGAATATTATTTGTTTGAAAGGGCTCATTTTTACGGCATTCTACTCGTTGTAAGCACAGTATGCTTTAGATACGATACTTTTTGTTGACTATAAATTTAACGTTTGAAATGATCTCTACAGCCTGATGACCGTGAGTGATGCAGACAAATGGGATGATCTCCAGTGAAGCTTGTCTCTTTCACATCTGCTGCATGGTATCGTCTTGTCTTTGTTCTTCCACATCTTTTCAGCTCTTTTTTGTTGTTCTTCTTCTTCTTGCTGCTAATGCGTGGGAAGAACATGACATTAAAGATTCTTTCTTTGGAGCGGATTCACTGAACATGGTACTGTGGCTCATCTAAATCATATCCACCCATGTCTTCTGCACTGCGTACCTTCCCATTGCCGCAGATGGCATGACCTGAGGTTTCAGGTGGAGATCGTGATGTGCACCGAGGAGCAGTTTGGCATCAACATCGAGGAAGACAATTCCCAGAACCATCACCAGGGTTCAAGAAGCAGCAGAACTGATAGAGAAGCTGCTGGTTTAGCAGAAAGCCGGGGCGCAGTCCAGTGAACAAAGCTTCCGTTGAAGCTATTGATCGGTTCACGGACATGATTTGTTCTTCGTTCTTCCATTCATTTGGTGCTCGTGCGAAAGAAGTCTGTGATCCTTTCAGAGAATAGAATCACCAATAGATTATTCTTTGCTTAACAAAGTAGATCATCTGATTCTAAATTCATATTCACATGATATTTTTTTTCCTTTAGATCTGACAGATAATAATTGGCTAATTCTGCATTAATACGTACGTGATCAGGGTATCTCCCTCTCCGTCCCCCTAATGTTTACTTTACCCGTCTGCGCTCCCTCGTCTCACTCGTGGGGCTATTGATGCCGCTAATAAAGATGAACGGGTGACGCTTCAAACGGCTACTAGCAGAAAACTACTCTTCTGCAATAAATTCGTCGAAAACGCTCCATCGATTCGAAGACTCAAATAAAAAGGAAAATTTCTTTGATTGCTAACAAGTCATCCTGGCATCGCTGTTCCACCCTATGCCTTTATATAATCTCTTTGGAATGGATGCTGTGTATACTTGGTGGTGGAATGGTCACAACGGCTCACCCCAATCTCCATGGCTTCAATCAGAACTATCAGGTTTCTGCTGACCCGATTAGGTTCTTGTGCTGCATCTGTTCCTTATCCTTGAATTCTATGCTAATACTCTCGTTGCACTTATTAGACAATGTGTTTTCTGAAGAAACATGTTGACGATTGAGGTGGATTGATACAGCCTTTGATGTTTGATGCAGAGTACGAAGAAACCATGTCAGCTTTGTTGGCAGTCATAAAACAAGAGGATGATGATTCCTCTGCTCACGGAGAAGAGGTCCACCGCCCAGAGAAACCAGAGTTACATTGTCCGTTGGCAGAACGTTTCAGCCAAGCTTCTGCTCGATCCTCACTTCGTCAGCCCCCATGCAACAGCTTTACGACGCCCATGGCGTCAGCAAAGCTGTCATGTCGTAGCCATCTGATTCATACCCTGAATCCACAGTGGAAGATCCTGAACTTGAGATGCACCACAGACATGTCTTTCCTGCACATGAAACGAGCACAGAAGACGTGGATGGAGCATCCACTGTGCTCCAATCCTTCGTGCAAACAACGTAGAGGAAAACTGTAGGCAGTTGAATGAATTGACGAGAAGGAACGAGGGGAAGAGAGAAGCAATAAAAGATCTGTGGAGTCAGAACGAGAACCAGGCGCTGCAGGAGCACAAGAAGAAGTTGATGGAAGACAATGGGTCTCTTCATCTGAGACTCCAAAAGCTAACATGTGAAACCGAGGCACGGAACCGTTCGACGTCTTTTGCTCTCATTTCCAAGCACAGTGCACCTCTCTCCAAGCTGAAGGCTCTTTTTCACGATCGCATTTGGTGCTACGGATTCACCATAATGTCGTATGTTCTGTTCTTTCCTCCCAACAACTCACAAGCATTTGCTGTCGTTTAGATCCTTTTTTCATATGAATGATCCAATCCAGTGAACGCCACGTAGTCATTTGAGTTCCCAGTATTGTACTCAAATCAAATCTATGTTTGAGATTGAATAGCCATCGATGTTCGTGGATCGAAGTAGCTCGGCTAATGGGCCAAGCCTCACTAACACCGGCCTTTTCCAATTATTCATGTCGATGAGTAGTTCCTTCACGGTCATCGACCCAAACAGGATCTACTGGTGCAGCAGCAGCAGCAGCAGCAGCAGCAGCAGCGACGCCATGGACCACCCTAGGGAGCTCTCTCGCTGACCGAATGCCCAATAGCCATTCCTCCGTTGAACAGGCGACAGATACGAAGGGTAGATGGAGGTCAAGGAAAGGGGGTCAAAGTGGGGCGAGGGGACGGGACCCACCGGGGGAATTGGTCGCCGCGTCATCGGCAACCCCATCACCGCACGCCACACCCCGCTTTTGCATTCTGTCTCCCACCCCGCACTGCGCTGGAAATGATGGCGGCCAGCTGACAGCATTATCACAGGGGGGCCGAAAAGTAAAAAAAGCGAAAAGAAGGGGGACCGAAAAGCCAATGGCAATAAAGAACCCGGTTCGGCCCGGTTCACGTTACCCAAGGTGACCCCATCCCGACCGCTGTTGAGTCATGCAACCCCTTTTGTTGGAATCATTATGTTGTCAGCCCCTCCCCTCGATGCCATGCCAATCTTTTGGTGTGGTTACTGTCTCCGGTTATGCCATTCATTCGCTGGTAAATGTTGCACCGGATTGTGACTGGGATCAAAAGTTGAAGCAGCAGAAGGGAAGAGAAACACCAAAAGCCTTCTCCTCCTTTGCTTTCTTCGCAAGGCTCCAAGAGGAAGAGCCGAAGGGTAGCGTTCGACTCCCCACATATCCCAAACCTCACGCTACTCACATACACTGATGATGAAGAGAATGCAAGTGTTTGCATGTTTGGGGAATCGGGTTAAGGCTCCTTGCAGAGGTTGCCTGTAGCAGGAGGTGTGACCGATTGATGGTTTCGAATTCCAGGCGAGGACTGGTCCCTTCGTCCATGCCAGCTGACCACTGGGTAAAGTTTGCAGGAGAGCACACACGAATACAAATCGAAACGAACAAGCAATCTTTGTCTCGTTGGTGGCGAGTGTTTGATCCTTTCCTATGACTTGTTCTAATCGATCGGGCGAGAGAGTCTGGAGATTCGTTTAGCCACTGCTACTGCATCAGCACAGAGGAAGAGAGCAACGCTACAGTGAACAAATGAGCAGCAGCGACTGTGGAGATTCCCACGCCATATCATTCTCGCATGTGTGCATGAACAAATTAACACCAGGAACCATGTCGTGTCCTCTTGCTTCGAAGGAGAGCGAGAGAGAGCCGGTGACGTCCTTGACCGCTAGCTTTGCAGACGACTGCCATCGTCATCGGAGAGCGCAGCCTTGTGGGATTACATCTGACAGAGCCAAGACAAAAACCCACCTGTCAATCATCCATCGAGATGATGATGAGAGGATGGAGGGAGGGTGATACGGCAGCGGCTACAGTTTTTGCTGCAGGATTTACCTCTGAGGAAAACTGTGGGGCGATTCTCTTTTCTCAGGGTGCCAGTTTAATGTTCGGATTGTTCTCATTGGCGTTTGGCAAGTTGCAGAAACACAGCCGGTGTTTTCTTCTCGGATCGTCGATCATCTTTCCGGCCGAGTTTGCATGAAAGCTGAAGTTAAATTCAAGATGAATTTGAAGTACATCAACAATTATTGCGAGCTTCAAAGTTCACGAGAAGATTTCGCTTAAAAAACAATTTCTCTTCTGCCGAGGCGTGGGTCCCACGGTCAGGCAGGCGACGAAGAGAGCCACGTGGGAAGGGGAAAAGCACGGGGAGGCCTCCTCGGTACGTATATCTCGAGTCTGCTACTACGCGCACCAAGCGTACGAAGCACGTATGCAAGTGTTCTTCTTCCCGGAGACAGACAGCACCGAGGTACATAATAATGGTGGCATCTTTTCAGAACAAAGCGGTGTCTCCTCTCCTTGGAAGACAGGTTTACTTTGCCACCCCTCTCTCTCTCTCTCTCTCTTTCTTTCAGAGAAGTAAAGCGGGAGAGCGGATCAGTCGGAACGAGATGTTTAGCTTAGCTTCAGTCTCTTTGGGAGTTCTATATTCAAAGTATTTCTTGTTGTTTACAACAGTCACAATGCATTCTCCCAGAAAAAATGTTACAGATGTCAAGTCTAGGTTAGTACTTGATGCATCAGCCTGCAGCATCAATCAGTCACTTGTGGCAGTTCTTTTGGGGTGGGGAGACAAGACCAATGGGAGGGCAGGGCCAGTCCACTGTCCTCTCTCTCTCTCTCTCTCTCTCTCTCAATTTCTTACAGTGATGAAATCAGATAAGCAGGAGGAGGCAGCAGCCCCTTCCTGCAGCGTCAATATAAAACCCATTTCTGTGAAGAAAAAGAGAGAAACCAGATGGAGTAGGCCAACCTTTTCACATGTTCCGGGCTTTCTGCTTGGAACTTTTTGTATGCGCAAGTAATTGTTGTCCATTTAGAAAAAGGCTTTGAAGAAGGCTTTTCTGCTTGGGTACAGTCGTATGAGCAATTAGTTATTAACAAGAAGGTTTACTGAACTCATGATCGAATGCTGCAGGATTCAGAAGAGGGTGCCCATTTTTCTCTCACTTTTCAGCATAAAAAGGTGTCGACACAAGAAGTTAAGGCAAGACAAACCTTCGTCTTTCGACCCCATAACCTTCATCTAGTTATATATATGACGCTTGCCTAGTCTCCACTTAGCACTGACATCCTCCCCATGCCACTCTGTTTCTTCTCTCTCTCTTTCCTCGTTCAGTTTTTGCCTGGTGGTGGCTCCGGAAACATGCATTCTACGGCGTGGAGAGCCGTGGTCATGGTTGCCGCTCTAGTTCAGATTTGCTCCTCCAGGGAGCTGGAGTCCAATCTATCCCACCCAAACAGGATCGTCAAGCTGCCTGGCCAACCTCAGGTCAGCTTCCAGCAGTTCTCAGGCTACGTCACAGTGGATGAGCGGAAGCACAGGGCTCTTTTCTACTACTTTGCCGAAGCAGAGATGGATCCGTCCTCAAAGCCTCTGGTTCTCTGGTTGAATGGAGGTAATACAACATCTTCCTCCTTCTCAAATGGAACAATTAGCTCATATGCTTCTTTTCAAAGGGAAAAAGAAGAACAAAGGCATGGAAAAAAACAAGTATTCTTTAGATGTGACTGAGAGAGAGAGAGAGAAGGTTGAACAAGGTTCTGCCTTTTTCATCAATAAGAGAAAAAGTTCTCTATAGAGATCAATATCAGATTTTTTTTTTTCTCATCTCTCTTTGATTTTAGTTTCTTCGTTGGTTGTGATTTCATCTTCATAGGGCCTGGTTGCTCTTCTGTTGGGGTTGGGGCATTCTCTGAGAATGGGCCTTTCAGACCAAAAGGTGAAGTGCTGGTGAGGAATGAGTATAGCTGGAATAAAGGTATGAAGCTGCAGCATCATTGATTTTATTCTTACAACTTTTCTTTGTGCTGGATGCACTTTCCTGATGAGAGAAAACAAAAAAAAGGCAGTGGTTAGTTACTTCTCTCCCATCTGCAGAGGCAAACATGCTGTATTTGGAGACACCAGCAGGAGTTGGCTTCTCTTTTTCAAGTGACTCTTCTGACTATGAGGGGGTGAATGATCGGATTACAGGTACTAATTTTGTAGCTTGGAGCTCGATATAAGCTTTCTGTAAGAAAAAAAGTTTAACAAGAGTTTTGTGCAAATTGTTTTCTTACTGATGCTTCTCAGAACACAATCTCTTGTTTCTTCTGGAAACAAAACGAATTACTTGATTCAGCATATCATTTAGCAAGCTGCAAGATGAGGCTGACTCTTCATTTGTTTTCGCTTGTGAAGCCAGGGATAATCTTGTTTTTCTGCAGCGCTGGTTCACAAAGTTCCCACGGTACAAGGGCAGGGATTTATACATCACTGGAGAAAGCTATGCAGGTGATGAAATTGCAAACCTTCACCTATTGTCTTGCTAGAAAAAGTTGGGCCTTTCTTAAATTTCAACAACTCATGACTCTGGTTTTCAGGCCATTATGTTCCACAACTTGCTCAGCTCATGGTTGATTTCAATAAGAAGGAAAAGGTCTTCAACCTCAAAGGCATTGCTGTGAGTACTAGAACAATCGAAATGATTCACGAAGTTGCTACATTTGTGCATAAAAGCAAGTTAATTCTTGCTGTTCTGTTTGATGTCTGCTACAGCTGGGTAATCCGGTTCTTGAGTTCTCAACCGACTTCAACTCAAGAGCAGAGTTCTTTTGGTCCCATGGGTTGATATCGGATACTACATACAGAATCTTCACTTCTGCTTGTAACTACTCACGCTACGTCAGTGAGTATTACAGAGGATCCCTTAGTTCAATCTGTCAAAGAGTGATGAGTCAAGTGACAAGAGAAACAAGTAGATTTGTCGACAAATATGATGTCACCCTTGATGTTTGTATATCATCAGTTTTATCGCAATCCATGGTTCTGAGTCCTCAGGCAAGTTTAGAACCTATATAACAATAACATCAATGCATGTCAGTTTATGTCCTCCCTTTAATGATCTGCAGCCTCTCTATATATTGTCTTCGACCATGCATCTGAGGCATATTGTAACTGTGCTGCAGCAAGTTACTGAGCGAGTAGATGTCTGCGTCGAAGATGAAACCGTGAGTTATCTCAATCGGAAGGATGTGCAAGCAGCACTGCATGCCAACCTTGTCGGGGTGACAAAATGGACTGTTTGCAGCAGGTATGCAGAAACATTGTCTTGAGATAAAACTTGAGCTTGATATTTCTTGAATTCCTGAATTTAAGATTATTTCTGGTCTTTATCCTTGGTTCAATTTGCATATCTGGAACTATCCTTGATAACATGGTACATTTGGTGGTATTCAAGTGTTATCGAGTATGAGTTACTTAACTTGGAGGTACCAACAATTTCGATTGTGGGTTCGCTTGTGAAGTCTGGAATCCCGGTGTTGGTTTACAGGTAGTTTAGTCCGTAAAGTCCATCATCGTTGAACACATTCAGTGGTTTTCAGGAACCAAAAGGATCTTATGCTTTTCATTTTCCGACTGTAGTGGTGATCAGGACTCTGTCATTCCTTTGACCGGTAGCCGAACTCTTGTGCAAAGACTGGCAAACGAGCTTGGCCTCAAAACAACAATTCCGTATAGAGCTTGGTTTGAGGGAGAACAGGTAAACAAAATCCAAGAGGCAATTTGTTTCACCATGTTCTTTTGTGATTTGAGTGATCAACTTGGAACAAGCCTGGAACTTTGGTGTCGCAAAATTTTCTGCAGGTTGGTGGATGGACTCAAGTTTACGGCGACGTGCTTTCATTTGCTACTGTAAGAGGAGCCTCTCATGAAGCTCCATTCTCACAGCCTGAGAGGTCTCTTGTGCTCTTCAGAGCATTCCTACAAGGCCGACCGCTACCAGAGACATTCACATATGCACCCTGACAGGTTCTTCAGCAGCATTAGGGTGTGCATTGTAAGTATATGCGAGTTTCGTGTCGATTCCATGGTATTCCTGTGTGCTTGAGCTGATGTCTAGTTTTAGGTAATTAGTGTGGAAAAGGCACACGAATGTGTGTTTTGTCACCGGCTTTTGTAGAATTCTGTCTCGTGGAGAAGCTACTTCATCTGTTCAACATCAAAACAATGGAGTTCAAATTGCATTTCTTCTTTGATTTCAAACTTACTACAATGACAAAAGGATCACTGAGGCTGTCCTTGACTCAGAAGTCAGCAAGCTAACAGTAGCATGACCAGAAAAAGGTTTTTTTTTTTTTTTTTTTTTTTTTTTTTTTTTTCATTTTTTGCACTTTACCGTCGGTATATGATTGCATACTAATTCCTTAAATTATCTTCTTTGCATGTCTATGTGATCTTAAAGGTTGGAATTTTACCATCTTTCTGTTTAGCTTTTCAGTATCAACAACTGCTGTTAGGTTCTGAGTTCATGTGAATGAGATTGAAGAAATTATTTCCAAATAAGAATTTAAAAGGTTCAGATATTAATGTGCAGAACAAATCCTAACAAAGAGAGCATTTTCACTCATATTTGCAGATCAAAAGAATTCTTCAAATAAGAACAGGGCATATTCATTGAAATCCCGAACTCTAAGCTTCAACTCCTCAAATTAGCTGATGATAGTCTGATCAAACCCCCATCAGCTTTGATGTTTATTGCAATCTGATTCCTCCTTTTACAGATCGTAGCTGCCAAATTGCAATAGAGAGATCCAGCAGTAGAATTTGTAACAATGGGACTCAGGAAAATGAATGCCATTAAAACAAGAGAAGCAGCTTCAAAATTATGATTTCATCCTCCATGTCGTATGCACTGTGATATAGAACAATACATCCTTTAAATTCTTGAGATAGAACAAAAGACAAATGACATTGTGGCAGCAGACACGCATGCAGGTTAGAACACCACTCCAGACCGTGGACTACCAGCTCTTAAATGACCCAACCTAACTTGTTCTTCTCCCACGAGTGTTCCACCGCCAAGTGGCGCTTCATGGATCTCAAAGGAAGAAGCACAGACAACAACCGAGTGTTACTCGAAGAAACACATTGTCCCAAGGCAGATTTGGAATCAGCCAGCTTCCTCGGCGTAAGCAGAGACGAAACCGGTTCTTGATCTGAATCCTGTGGCAAGTTGAAGAGTTAAAGAGTGGCGTGTGGAATCTTCTTAGGTGAGATGGAAAGAGGGCGATCACGAGAACCTTGGGCTTGTTTTCTACCCATTTATTCCTTGCCTGCATTACTTGCCTCCGCTCCCTGTGCTTGTCTCCTCTGTCGCACGACTCGCGCCATCTCTGCTTGCAGCTTCTCTCTATCTCCTCCTCTTCTTTTCTAACCTCGTTGGATGATTGCCTTTTTCATGGAAAATTGGCACTCAAATATGATCTTTAATCCAATGCGACAAAATTAATTTAACTTTTTATTTTATTTTATTTTGTTGCATTCGAAAGTCGAAGTTATAATATGTTATAGAATATTATTTGTTTCTTATCTTACGTTTAAATTGTATATCACAGACCTAAATCATTCATCAAAGTCTTCTCTTCCCTACTTGTGTTATACTCACTGATCAGACTGGAATGCATGGAGATGTATCAGCTGTGAGCAACAACAACAGAGGTTTGAGTACAGCTCACTCAATTCCTTGATCTATTTCCTTCCGAATAAAAATAATATTTTTATTTTTTGTTGCAAAGTTACTGATCTCATTAATCTTAGTAGGATGAATTTATGGAACTAATATGACCCATAATTCCCTATATAAATTTTTATGTACAGTATATATATCCTTCCGAATATTTAAATCATCCATCTCTTTGATAATCATAACTACTCACAGTTGACTTCATCTAAAAATATAATAACAAATTTAAATGCTTAAAATACTTATTATTTTCACCTTTTAATGCAGTAAACTAAATTAATATATCTGAGAAATATTTTTATAAACCTCGAACATATATATACATACAATCTTGCCTTTTTTTTATGGATGGATTTGGCATGTATAGTATGTATGCTAATGATAGGAACAACCAAAACTTGCCTGACATAAGGTGACTGCTGCATTTAACTTTAGCTTTCCTTTTGGTTTTCACTGTGCAGATGCTTATCCATAGCTCTGTCGCCTTTGGTAACTGCTAGCAGATTATGGAAGCTGGCAGCCTCACATCCAAATGGCCTTCTGCATTCAACCCGGGAAGAAGGGAATGGCATTCAAGTCTTCCAAGAGATGGCTGGTCCAATCTCCCTCAGCTAATGTTACCCCCTTCTTGTCTTGTGTTCCTTTTTCCCCACCCCAAACAAAACCATTTTTAAGCACCTCATCTCACATCAATCTGACAGACCTTGTGTGATGATTACCGTAGCAATATGGACCACAAGCAAGCAATAATGCTTGCATGATCTCTACCATCTTGTTACCACTTTCTTTACATTTCATTTCATGAGAGATAAAAGAGAGGATAATAAACATATCAGTATATTCTTATTTCAGCTGTGCATGCAGCAGATGAAGGTATCAAAAATTGCATGAAAAGCTTCTGTAGTTTTGTCTGAGTTGTGCCAAAAGAGTTTTTAACTGTCTTCAGATGGAAACAGGGCTTGCTGCGTCTTATCTGCATTCCTTTCCCCCTGCTTTGGGTTGGCCACCACCCCAATCTCCCTTAAACAAGAAGCGAAGCAAGATGGTTAAAGCCTCCACGATAACAAGACGAAGCCAAGTCTGTTTTGTGACATGGGAAAACCTTATGACCACTGAAAGAGAAGAGAAGAGAAGAGAAGAGAGAGAGAGAGATCAAAACACCCCCTTTGTCACACGAAAGCTTCCTATTGCAGCAATGCCTGCTTGTGAAACCCAGTAAGTACACTGTCAAGGTCACATAATTAAAGAAGAGAGGCAAAGGACTGTGTGAAACTCGATAGTACACTGCCAAAATTCACATCATTTAACTAGCCATGAAGCTGTTTGAAGAAATTGAAGGAGAGAGGAAGGATGAATAGCCTTTACATTATTTCCTTCACGGTCATTTTGGGAGTTCTGTCAGCTAACATGACCAGCGACAGAAGCAAAGGAGAACAGCAGCAGTGCGTCGCAACACGTTCCCTTGGAACGACGAAACGTTTCAAACCCATCGCCCTCCAGGTGGAGTGCGAGCTCTGAGGCTGAGAAGTGTTGGAAAGCATCAAAACCGGACCTGGTAGTTGTACATGCATTGTCTTCTTCCCTTCCGCCCGGAAAACAGGTAAGTGAGAAGAGCAGCGATGTTTTCGAGAATTGATGGCGGCTTCTGGATGGATGACGGTGGAGACGACGACGGCCCTGTCGCTTGGACAAGAGGAAACGCCTCCAGCTCTAGCGGAGGGGGAATGGGGGAGCCCAAGGAGGACGAGCTCGGCCTTTCCGGCTTTAAGTCCATGCTCGTGGACGACTGGTACGTCGGCGCCGCTGCCCACCACCCCTTCGAGGCCTTCCAGACTCAGCAGGACCTCAAAGACGTCGCCTTTCTCCCGAATCCGTCGCCCCATGAGGCCCTGTTGCTGCCCCCCGTCGATAGCCTCGACCAAAGCCAACCCTTTTTCTCGTCGAGACCTGCCCTTTCGTCTGTCTTCAATGCCTCGAACCATTTCGGCGTTGGGGTTGATCTCAGGAGCGACGCGCCGGGGTTTCTTCCGGCAGTCCCGGTTTTAAATCCCCCTGACTTGATGAACGGAGGAGGTGGCGCCATCGATGGAGTGTTTGGCTTCGTCGGAATTGGAACCAGTGGACAACTTGGTTGTCCAGAGCTGAACTCCGCAAGCCAATTCTCCGGCGCCCTTCTGCTACCTCCTGCCGAGAACTGCTCCGTTTCCAGCTCTGGCACCGCCTTCTGCCCTGTGGGCTTCGACAGCTTGGAGAATTCACCGTTTCTCAACCGGTCCAAGGTGTTGAGGCCTTTGGAGATGTTCCCTACAGCGGGCTCGCAGCCCACCCTGTTCCAGAAGCGGGCGGCCGCCGCTCTACTGCAGAACTCGGTGGCTACTGCAGAAAAAGTCGGCATCTTGGGTACTTGGGCGTCGAAAGGCAGCTGCCAAGGGAGCAGCAGTGTGGCTGCATTGGAGGAAGAGAAAGAGAGGAAGAGGAAAGGGAATGAGGTCGATGAGTTGGACGAGGGTAGCATTGACGGGTCCGGCTTACATTATGATTCTGATGACTTTGCCGGAGAGTGTGCCAAAGTTGAGGAGAATGCAGGGAATGTAGCAGGTGGAGGAGGGAACAGTTCGAGTGCTGATGTCATGGTGGCCGACAGGGGGAAGAAGAAGGGTCTCCCGGCGAAGAATCTGATGGCGGAGAGGAGGAGGAGAAAGAAACTCAACGACAGGCTTTACATGCTTAGATCTGTTGTCCCCAAGATAAGCAAGGTGGGAATTATATGTCACCAGTTCCTTTACATAGCTTGCAAGTTCCTTTGCTTTGTTTTCCCTTTCTATATGCTATTGCTTGAGTTCTGCTTTGACTATATGAGATTGATCTGAACTTACACTGAAGCTTTAAATTGTTGTAGTGCATTCAAAGTTTAGCTTCTACCCAGTCGTGCTTCAAGGAGTTAGTCTTATAATTCCATCCTATGAGGGGAACTACTGTCTCTAGGGGATTGTTTCGGTCGTAATTTCATATGCTTATCATGTTACTTAAATTGATACTGAATTCTCATCTTCTGTACAAGAAACATAAATTTCCTGTAGTTTCATGTGAACTTGCCATGCTTATGTTTTGTACTTCAGGAATCTACTCGGTAGCAGTAGGCAACTATAAACTTGCATGTGTTCATCATCATCTCGGTTAATTTGAACTTAAGATGGAACTCTAAATCTTTTGCTTCTTATCTGAATCAACTGTTAAAATGACTGTTTCTTCTAGCCTTTATAGCGAATCAATTGTTGGCATTCCCCCTCTGTTATTGTAATAGTTGTCAGATCAGTGCTTGATTGGATGAATGGTTCCTCCTTGTCATTGTACATATTTGTCTTCTGTAATGAAACCGGTGTCCTGTGGGGAAATAATCCTGGCAGCTGCTGACCGTTCTTCCTCGGGTCAGAATCTTTTCCATCTCAAATAGAACAAATTCAAAATCCACCTGCGCATACATAGGGCAGGTCCCTGCATTTACAGGTGACACCTACCCATTCCAATGGATGGCAGATCTGACCGGGACAAGTGAACCAAATTGAGAAGAACATAACCTTCCTGCATGTGCTCTTTTTAATGTGTCTTCCAAATATTTAAATTAGAGTGTTTCCGTAACATGCTTACCTTAAAGCCGCATCACCATCATGTAAAAGAATTATGATTGGAGTTCCTATGTCATCATGAATGAACAATACGCATCCTAAGTTCCGCCCAGAAAGTTCAGTACTACTTTCATTTATGATCAATATCTTTGTTAGTTTATTGTCATCAACATATATAGATATATGCTCATTTCATCATCAAGGACTACAAGATTTGGATGACAATGGTGGAATGACAAATTTTTAGCAGTTGTTCACCTCCAATCATGACTGTTTCTTTGTCTTTTGTCTTAATTTCTTGTGTTCTTACAGATGGATAGAGCTTCCATTCTTGGCGATGCGATTGAGTACTTGAAGGAACTTCTCCAAAGGATCAACGACCTTCAAAATGAGCTTGAATCAACACCTTCAAGTTCTTCACTGCCTACAACAAATGCAACGAGCTTGCACCCCTTGACTCCCACACTACCAACTTTGCCATGCCGCTTGAAGGATGAACTCAAGCACTGCTCGAGTTCTTTACCAAGTCCAAATAGTCAGCCAGCAAGGGTTAGTGCCATTAGCTTAATCCAACTTTTTAGCATCTTGTTTGTTATCCAAAGTTTCAATTACCAACTTGGCTGCTAGAATTGGAAGTTATCTTAATGAACTATCATCATGATATTGTGCAGGGCATGCTTGTTATTTGTCAATTGCAGTCTTTATTTTTCTGGTTTACATTATATATATATATACATACATACATACACGCACACACACTACACACACACACACACACACACACTATTTTTCTGGTTTACATTATATATATACATACATACATACATACACACACACAATATATATATATATATATATATATATATATATATATATATATATATATATATATATATCATCAACTAATTAGATTGAAGATGACTTCATAGACCTTGGACATCAGTGGATAGTACCAGCCATGGTCTTCATTATCATGTATTAAGCAAAACATAGTGCCACTCTTGATCTGGTTGAATTTTAGCATGATAGACAGTGTGTAAACTCATCTTGTTGTGCATTCTATAGGTCGAAGTTAAGGCGAGGGAAGGCCGAGCCGTCGACATACACATGTTCTGTGCCCGTAGGCCTGGTCTGCTGCTTTCAGCTTTGCGATCACTTGACAGCCTTGGGCTTGACATTCAGCAGGCGGTCATCAGCTGTTTCAATGGATTCGCGCTAGACATTTTCCAAGCTGAGGTAAGTTCTCATTGGATGATGTTATCACCCCAACAAAGAAGTCACATTGTGTGTATGTGTGTATATATAACTAAATATATTTCATTCATATGCCCTTATCTTTTTCAGCAATGCAAAGACCCGGGTGTTCTGCCTGAAGAAATCAAGGCTGTGCTCTTGCACTCTGCAGGTTTGCTCAACACAATGTAGTCAGCAATCAAGGTAGCAATTGCTTTGGTTCTCTGAGATGGATCTTGTATGCTCTCATCCCCAAGTGTTATCGGCAGCTCTTAGAATTAGTTATCCAGGGATGCTGCTGCTTGACCCTTATTCCTCTCTTTAATTCACTGAACTAAACTTTCTGTTCAAGAATAATGTATGAATCTTTTCTCAAGCCTTTACACTTTTGTTAATTATTTTTATTTTATTCCTCTTTGTGAACTATATATATATATATATATGTATATGTATATATATAATGTGGATTCTTCTTCTTGGATGTGTTCATCCAAAGAAACGACACAGAATGAACAGTTCCTCAAAAAGCATCATTTGTAGGCTTTGTAGCTCACTGAGACTCTGATCCAACATCGGAGTTCTAAATCTATGATCTCACTTTGGACTTGCTCGGACCTTGCAGAGTTGCAGTACGTTTGTAGGGTTCGGCCAGGGGTGACAAAAAGCACTTTACGAGGATTGATGCAAGACCGCCATTGTCGAAGCTGATTCCCTTTTCCTCTTCCTTGTGACATCTGAGAGGACCTTCTTCTTGTGCCGAGAGATTGACAGCCAAAGCAATATTATGCTTATGTAGTTAATGTATGTATGATATGCGTTTCTGGGAACTCTTGTCCACATATTTTTGGAACCCATTCACCATCCAATCATCTGCTGGAAACAGGGACATTTCATATCATGGATTGTACTGACAACTCGGATCATCAAGTCAACCATTCTGACTCCATATTCCTCTTTGCCTCGGGTTGTATGTCATGTCAGTCTTTCGAGATTTAAATCGTGAATAAAGTGGTGCCGGAATCATGAGGAATATATTCTCTGTCCAACTCTGATATCTTATTTTGTACATCGATTATTAATTTGAGGTGGTAAGTTCGAGGCTTTGAAATTCTTGTTTAATTATGTATATTTATATTCTAGAAAAATATCAAATTTATGAAGATATTTAAGAGCATGACTATTTTTGAATTAATAAATCTGATATACAATCATCAAACTAATATTTTAAATTTCTTTTATCAAAAGTGTGATGACCAGATATATATATATATATATATATGTTCTCCACTAAATTACCTCGAGCAATGTTAATATGTGATTTACACAATGTATCAATATTTTACTATGTTTTGCATCAATGATAATATGTGTTGTAGTGACAAAATTTTGTTGTTTGATTGAGATGTTGATTTGGAGACAATCGAGATCTTCGTTTCGTTTCTAACTGATATTGAAAAAAATCAAACCTTGTCAAATTATGTTGGAGTGTTTTAAGATCTCTTCGATGCTTAAGTCAATTCAATAAATATGCTTTTATGTCAAAGATAATATCAATATTATCCGTGTAAAAATGCACTGATAGCATTTTTTATAATGTGCGATAATTATAATACGATTAATAATATCGTCATATGTCGCTGAAGTAGTATTAAAATATCGACTGATCAAGTGTTAACCACGTCATTATTTTCTATTTAAGTTATTTTTTTTATGTTTTGTATCATTATGCGCGTTAAATTGCGAATATTTTGGGGTTTTTTGACCTTTCTCTAAATGATAATTTATCCACCGTCAAAGCTAAGCCATCAAGACGATCAAGACCGTCGGATCCAGAAATCCTCAGAATTTTGTTCTCCCGCGCCAAGGATCGACAAGAGAGCACTCCGCTTCCATGTCTGTTCGCTTCACACGACGACGAGGACGAGGACAACGGTGGAGATGGCTTAGACCTGGAGAAGGAAACGGAGGCGGAGGAGAGGGCGGAAATCCTCAAAGACTGCTTTCTCCTCTTCGTGATCTCAGCCGAGGTTCCGTTTCTTCTGCTGCCCTTGTGCTCTCCTCTTTGCCCTTTCCCCAGTGCAGAATCCTCATCGATCTTTCATCCGAATTCTTTCGTCGGAACAGCCAAGAAGGTCGATGTGGAGGTAGCGAAACCCATAGTTTCATGCATCCCCGACCTAGATTCTCAGTACGCAGGTGATTGCTGAAGCCGTTGCCCTCTTCCCATTGGTTTCGCCTTCGTCACCAATTGTTTTCTTATCGCTTCTAACGTTGATTTCATCTAATTCGTTGTTCATTGTTTTTCCAAATTCACGATAACGCTTCATGTTGCTGCAGTTTCAGATGGACGTATGATGGAAATGGAAATCCTGCTCTTGTTATGTGATTAGGGTTCTAATTCTGTTATGTGATTGGGTGTTAATTTGTGATTTCAAATGCTGCTTTCAGTTTGTCTTTGTAATTAGGTGTAATATATCTGAGGACGCCCTTAAAGCTTTGGCTTTGCTCCTTGACATTGCTCTTATTTGGTAGAGATATTGATGTCTTTTCCTGGCATTTTGCAGACTTATCATCTACCGGACCTTTTTCTCCAGGGTGCTGGAAGACTTTTGACCTTGCTAAGATGTTGAGTTGTTTACACAACATGCTGGCCGAAAATCTATGAACATGGAAGATGTCATACATACTATCAGGTAATATGCCACATCAAAGTCAGGCTCTCTTCTAATTTGTGTGCTATCGAATGTTTTGTACCGTAATTCTATAGTTTGACATCCATTCTACGAGTGCTGCTTTCTGTTAGATTAATTCATCTTAACTAAGATTTGTCCATGCATAAGATTGTTAGCTTTCTTCCATTTAATATTTATGTTTTTGCGATACTTCTACATCTTTTTTGCTTCCAGGGAAGATATTACTTGTTTACTTGTATGTTATCTCACAGTGAAAGTAAATGTTTGTCTCCTTTCTGTATAGCACTTTGGCTAATGGTAAGAAGTAATCTATGTGATGCCCCTCTTCCTGTTAAAAAATCAACCATAAGACAGAATGAAACTACAAGTTTTTACTGCTGATGAAGGCAATCAAAGAATATTTACCGACATTTTCCTTTTAATTTCGTATAATTTACCCTTTAATACTAAGGGCACGCCAAGTGCATGGGTTTCTGCCAATGCAAGGTCTAGGAAGGCAATATACATAATAGGTTATTTTCATGACTTGAACCCTGATCTCTCAGGGCGCAAAAGAGCAATGTTGCTTGCCTTAGTTTTATTGTTTAATACTGTAAAATTAAAATTTCTCTTTGGCTTTACTTCTTTGGAGCTCTCAATAAAGATACTGGAGAAATTCTTTGGCTCTAATTTCTTTGAGACTCTCAATATAGATATGGGATGGATAGTAGATTCTTCTTAATAATTTCTTATTGTGGCCTGTAAACCTTTTCTTCTGGTAAAAACAACTGTCTGCTCACATTCATTAGAGTTGAGTTGCAACCTGTTGACTACCCTGAAATTTTGATGGCCATAAAATCAGCCAACATTTGCATATAAGAATAATATTTGCTTCTTAGTTCCTATCAAATCTCCGTGTATTGGGTGCCACGATTATGTTCTGAACATAATCGGTACTTTGCATATTTGCTTTTTATTACTTTTACTATTAATTGTGGGAAAATAAATATTTCCACTATATTTACACGTGTCTCGCAAGAGAGGAACTATCTTGATATATTCCATAGCGGTGCTATCTTGATACATTCAAAAGGAAAGATGCAGTGTAATGCTACTATACTAAACTATGTATGTTTCTTGTCCTGTTTTAAAAGTTGGCATATTCTGTAGATTCCAAAATTTGTAGTTCAGAATTCACATCACCTAGATAGGCTCTTTGGTGGTTTTGAGTGGGTGTCCTGTTTGTTATATTGCTAACTTCGTTAGGTTTTAAGCTCCAATCCATGACATTCCGTATGAATCACAAGCTGTTCCATTTTTGGTTTTAGCACTGTGATCAGGTATTGATATATTCTGTGACGTCTGTCATTTTGTAAAGGTTGTTGTTTGAAAGACTTGATTTTCATGCATGAAGATATAACTTTTATGCCTTATCCAATGACTTTTCATGTGACTTGGCAGACTATCATTTCTGCTTTTGGTTTGTGAAGTGAGGTTTGATTCAGCATTTGATGTCTGTCAAGCTGAAGTGGGTGTTCCTTGGGATGCCCAGTGCTCTTGCCTTTCCAATTATCTTGTATTTTGTTTTTGTTCATCTTGAGATGACAAATCATCCTTGAGGTAGTCTTTTCTATTACGTTTGTGCAATTGTTTTATAGTAGCAGCTGATCTCTTGATTTGACATAGAAGCATCTGGCGTGGGGCTTGCAAGCTCATAGACTTGTAGTAGTGACTGAGATGTATCTGGTTGATCAAGCTATTGGATTTGTGGATAAATGTGAATTGGATTGGGACATTGTGGAGAAAGGTTGGTTGCACATGTAGATAGATGGGTGGATGTGATGTGGCAGTCAGAAAAAAAAAGGGAAAAAGAACTGTGTGGTGAGATGATGGGATTGTTATATTTGAGCTGTTTGGTGGCTATTATTCAGTTGTCCTTCATGCCCAATTCTTCAAAGAAAACCTTGACCCTCATTCTTAATCCAACTACTGTGGCAGTCTCATGTCATATGCTTTTTTAGGTTTATACCATTGTATATGTAATTCTTTAGCCTTTGCTTGGTACATATGATTCTTAATCCAGAGGTCACAATATGAGACTCATTCCTTGCTTTTGCTTTCATTTGAATCATAACATTTATATTTCCTTGGAACTAAACTCTACTGTGGCATTCCTTAATTTTAATGCTTCATATAACTAATATTTGCTTCAATAATTACAGCATGCTTTGACTTTGTTGACCTGTAGGTAACCAAGCAGCAGATCTGGAGAAAGAAAAGGTTATCAATGATTGCTTCATTATTTTGTCTTTTTAAATCATGCATTTGTGGCTCTTAACATGTCATGCACATAGATAGCTCTTTATAACAGGGTATTTAATTTTGATAGCAATTGTTAAGACTTTTTTGTTTTAGGAGTACAATTGCAAAGGCTTCACATCAACTAATTAATTGGTATTTTTGGTGCTCTCTCTCCCTCTATCTTTCTAATTTTTGAAGATTCACATCGATTAACTATTGTTGGTACTCTCTCACACACAGACACACATGCACTAAATAATGCGACTGACTTTGATTTGAATCATATAGTTGGATCTGAATTCCTCTTTCATTTTTCCTGTAGGACTACTACACCTGTGTAATTGGATAAAATGGAGACACGTGATCTTGTACTTGAGTTTCATGGAGCACAAAGAAGGTAAGGAACCCTCATGGCGCCTTTAAGTCATGCTTTGACAACTCCATGCCATCCACGTGCACTCTCATTAGCATTCACCTGCAGAGGAACATAACATATTCCACGAGTAAACATAATATAACGGGTGCTATGAATCGAGCTACCATCTGAACTACTCTGGGCAACAGCTTTGTGGTTATGAGGTTGTCAGTCTTCAAATATTAATTATATCACATTGTCTGAATCTCTACGTATAGGTATAAAATATCTAAGCCTAGGAAAATATTTTATCCTGCATGCAGTGAATAGGTCCATATATGCTATCACAGCGCCCGTTTGGCTGTTTGAGATGAATAAAACAGTAACTCTTCTTCATCATGAAATTTGTCAATTTTGTACCAAATCTTTTAAATAGCTTCTGTGGGATGTAGTCTATGTCTGGAGAAAAATGTGATAGTAATTGCTAGCTACTAATTCTATTTATCTTTGAACAGGGAACTCTGTAAATTTCTCGAGGAGCTTCGTATTATTTAACCTCGGAGGTAGATGGGACGATCTAATTGCTTGTTGCTTGTTAGGGACCAGCAGCATAAATTTCAGAGATGAGCTTCTATTGGATGCAAATGGTACCACCCACCTGCTCGAGTTATGGATGCCAGAAAAGAAAATTGACAGGTACGACAAAACCAGTCTACAATTGCATCAGTATGCAGGTATGTCATCTAAAGCTTAAATTCCTTCATAATTTATGTGACATAAGCCTCAAATTTGAATTCAAAGAGCTACTCTTTATCAGTCCTTTCTCTCAGAGACTCTGGTGCAGGTATCAGGAATCATGTAGTAAAACTAACGGCAGAAAGAGCCGACGTTGGATCCCAGCACATGTTTCATGCTTCCTCGTTTTAGGGCTGCACGACGTTCCCGGACCCACCCAGAGGTGACGAGGATAACGAAAAGAAGGTATAATTTTTTATATTACCGGCCAACTCTGGCTCCTATTTTTTAAAGACAACTAATTAATAACCGAAATAAGAAGAAGGTAAAGAAAGTTTAGTCCATTGTGAAGGACGCTAACAAACAAAAAAAGTAATTTACCAAATTTGATCCAGAAAAATATGATAATATAATCCTTCTGCCGTTTTCTACCATATAAAGCAGACCGGAAGGCGCTACAAGACAAAGGGCCGGGCTGAGCTTTAAGCGAAACCCGATGCGGGCACCCACTGGTGCACCCATCACTCGCGCACCGAAGCCCTCCAAATCTTATTTAAACGCGGCTGAGCCAGGAAACGGGAAAGGGGGTCACCGGGTGCACCACCCACGAGGCGAGCGTGTCATCTGATCTTTTTCTTTTGCATACAGCCCGGAGAAAGAAAAAGCAATGTCTTTATCTGCTTTGTTATATTCCGGCTTATTCTGGCGTGGTATTATGCTTGATGAGTTGGTGAAATAGGCGCCTCAGGTTTTACACGGAGATGCTAATTGATCGATCATTATATCATAAAAAATATACAGGACTATGAAATTTAATTTCTTAAGCACATGAGATAATATGGGAGAGCAAAAAAAAGAAAAAAAGGGGGGGTTCATTGCAACAAAGCGATACGGGAGATGTGAGGAGGTGAGTGAACGAGATTTGTTGATTGAAGTGGAGACGGATGACGGAAATGGGTAGGTCCCTCCATCTCTACTTATCTGTCCTTCGTCAGACACTGTACAGCTTTTTTTCTTTCTTTTTTCTTTTTTTGGGTGCTTTGGCAGGGAAATATTCACTTGTGCTGATATTTATTTTTGTGGGAACAAGTAATTACTATGGGTTGGAGAAATTGTTACGACTAAACAGAACAGATTCATAAATTAATTTGCAAAAATTATTTTGGAAACCAATCAGTAACATCGTCGATGTTTACAGATATTTTCTATACTATTCATATATATTGTCAATATTTGTGGAGTTTATAGTAATGTCATATTCGTTGATCCACATAACGACAAGATTTTATCCACACACCTATAAACTACCAAGTGGTTGATATGTTTTCGTACATCGTATTTAAGACTCATACATTGCATGCTTTCTTCCATAATGGTTGCAATAATTAATTTATTATTCTTAGTACCACAAATAATTCAAGTTGCACTATTTGCAATCCGTGGCACGATAAATATGTGATCATATGAGACAGTGGGAATAATTACGATTAGTTTGCTTAGGTATCATTACATGTAGCGCATATCAACGATACGCGCAGCAGAGCCAATGCAACTAAACTCTTAACCCAACATAATAGAATTGAGATTTGATCTGGTCCCTTCGTCCCCCATCGGACGGCGGTAGCGAGTCAGAGTTGTGGCTTCCGCCGTTACAGCTTGTTGCCTCCCGTCCCTATCACGCTCGCGCTACCTTCTCGAGATTCTTTGTACCGTCACGAACAGAAAGCAGACTTCCATCTCGTCGTGGCTACATCGAGAAGGACTAACTGCGGGACCCGCGACAAGGAGAATCCACCGCCGTTTTGATACAGACAGCGTAGGATTTGGGGTTTCTGGATCCGCTGAGAGAGCGGGGGTTTTAATTAGCGGTCGACCAGCTTTCGCAGGGAAAAACAGGAAACAGCCTACTTATGTCCCGCAGCGAAGTGCCACATCGAATGTTCGATCGTTGAAATGACACTTATGCTCTCTTACGATACCCAAAATTTTCGTTTTGGGCTCAGGATGATGCACGTTCCACGGCCCCGTCGAAGGGTAAGTTAGTAATCTGACTGCAACAGTTGTTGGAGGCGGTAGACGCGCCGATCCGACCCACCCCCGCGACCGAGGGCGACGCCGTTAGGACCGTAACGGCGCGCCGTCTCCGCTTCCGTCTCATTCTTCGCCGTTTACCCCCTTAATCTCCGCCCCGCCCCCCCTCTCTCTCTCTCTCTCTGCCCACGAGGCCTTAAATACCAAACTTTCTACGTCTCTCTCATTCTTCTATCTCGTGTTCATCTCCCTTCGCCGGCCGGAGGAAGAGGCGGATCGCTGTAAATTCCGGCGTCAGCCCGCCTTAAGCCGCCAAGATCCCGGCGGAGGCACCCACTTCGGGGGATCATCTCGAATTCATACGAAGACAAGATAGTACTTTTTTATTCGGTAGCGGCTGGCGGGACGTGGCGTGGCGCTCTTGCTTGCGTTAGAGGGGAAAAGGAGAGGACGGAGGGGAGATGGGTTGGCATCGGAAGGGTTGGATGCTCCCGCACGGCACGGATGCCGAGGTGATCCCTTAGGGGATTCTCCTTGGCCACCGCCTCTTTGCCTTGTGCGGGGGGGTCGTTGCCTTTAATTTCTGCTCCGCCCTAGCTCTCTTTGTGCCGGTCGGCGGTGGCTCTTGGTGAGCGAGAAGGTAAGGCGGGGTGATCCGGTGAGGAACCTTCTTGTCAACCTCGTTTTGTCGGTTCTTTGATGGAATTCTGATGTTCGTCTGCGATCTGCTTGGAATTGGTGAGGATCTTGACTCGAGGTACTTAATCTGGGTTTATCTGTTTCTTTCGATTTCTGTTCATCTCATGCGTTTTCTCTGAGTTCTCTTTGCCTCATCGGTTGTTGGCATTTGGTTTGCTAAGATGATCTCGCTCATCTTTTGTCCTTAAAAACATTAATTTTGGTTTGGGATCTTCTCAGCGGGAAAAACATTTGTATTTTTTTCTTTGTTTTTTGAATCTCGAGAACATCGGCTATTTGTATGTTGGAATTTACTTTCTTTTGTTTTCTTTTCCTTTCTGGCTTGATAGGGGTCAATCCTTTATCTGGAGAATTTTAAGGAGAGGGCCCTCCAACCGAGGGCATGGGGAATAAGGTAGGGCCATGTGAGGGACATCCGGCCTTCTAAATTTTGAACTTAGCTCGCGTCTTTTGGTTCGGAGCTGCAGGATGCCAATTAAAAACATGGATCAGAAGCGGCTATCTCCATTCAGCTTGTACTCTGAGACATGATATTTCTTTTTCTCTGAGAAGCCGCACGTCGTGTTGCTGCTGAGGTAGCAACCGCCTCTCTATTTTTCCTTTTGGTTTTTGAGAATTACTGAAGCTTCAAACGCACATAATTGAACACTGTCTTCACAAGGACTTAAGCCTAAAACCTTTTCGAGATAAAAAGGGACCCGACCACTCGTTCAAGGCGTTTTTGGTCACAATTGCCTTAGTTTTGGCCTATGATGAGTTCTCTTCTGCACATTAAGAAACTCACCAATTTATCAGGAATCAAGTCATTTATTGCTTTTAGTGTCGTCTCGTTGTTTAATTTTTTAATTCATTGTTATCGACGAGGTTTTTGAGAAAAAAAATGGTGGGGCTCCTTCAGTTTGCATCAAAGAATTGTTCTGTTTTTTTCTCCTTCCAAATATTTAGTTTGGCAAGGACTTCCATGCATGAATCATGTTTAGTGTTTGGCTTTGAAACTAATATATTTTCATTGCATCCTTGTGCAATAGAGCTCTATATATTGTTGTGTTTCCAAACATCTATTTATTACTATAAGATCTCTATCTTAATCATCTCATTGAATGAGACAGGAGGGTTTAACCCATCACGTCAGTTTCTATTAGCATGGCCAACTTCCGATTGCTTGGAACTCTTTCCAAGCATACCTAACATTCTCCCAACTGCTAACCATTTTAAGAGATTTCTACACTTATCAATCTCCACTTTCAGTGTTTAGCATGAACATTTTGAGGGGTCCTTTAGATGAGTTTTGGGTTTTTGGACTGACCAAATAGTTCTACTTGAAGCCAGCATTCATATCATACTTTCTCTATCATTCGGGTTGGATAAATGTATGCTGGCCTGATATCTTCTATGTATTTGCCAGATAAAATCAGAGTGTATTGTCTATATCTTAGTAAACTGGTTCTAGATGCTGTTCAACTGTAGTCCATTGTTTTATTTGTTTCTACTATTGAACTATGGCAGATATGTAATATGTGCATTCCAATTTATCTTCTGCAGAGGGAATACAAGTAATGTCCGGGGTTAAGTCTGTTTCTTCTTCTCCATTTGATGAGCTTCATAAGACTGGAGCAAGCTCCACACAGTGGTTAGGACTTCCGCAGCCTTGCATTCTCATGGACCAGAAGTCTGAATCTAGTCTTGAGCATTGTCTGGTCGGGCCACAAAGGATGACCAGCATATCTACCATGGCCAGAGTTGCTGACCATGTTTCTAGATCCCAATCTGATCGGTTGGTTGTACCTCCTTTGTTTAGCAAGGGAAACTTAATGGATCATAGTGAACCACACCATGAGAATGGACTTTTCTCAAGCTCTTTGTCAGATATATTCGTCAGAAAATGTTTGTTTTCCTCCTATGTTTTATACTTTGATACTTTATTTAGATAATGCTGCTAGCTAGATATCTGAGTTCTTCTGAGATTAATGCTGTTTTCTGTTTGAATAATTTCCTGGAGTAAAGTTCCAGAAATTACATGTTAAAATATCCTATATTTTCTCATAAAACTTTTTTGCAGGTTACCTTTTGTTTTGGATTGATTATGTTTATTATTGTTGACTTCCCTGGCAGTGAGATTGTCTTCAAGCATTGTTCCCTTGGATCAGTCTATTAATTCAGTTAACTCGAACTCTGGTGAAGATGAGCCTTTTGAATCCATGGAGGAAATTGAAGCTCAAACTATTGGGAATCTCCTTCCTGATGATGATGATGACTTGGTGTCTGGTGTGATTGACAATATTGGATATATTGGTCGACCCAGCAATGGGAATGAAATTGATGATGACATATTTTACAGTGGTGGTGGTATGGAACTTGAATCTGATGATAATATCAATGGCAACAGAACATCTGAATCTGTTTGGGGAGGGACATCTAATGGTCAACAAGAAGAACCAAATGGCCCATTTGCTGGTGAACACCCATACGGTGAACATCCTTCTAGAACACTTTTTGTTAGAAATATCAACAGCAATGTTGAGGATGGAGAACTGCGGGCTTTGTTTGAGGTGCGTTTTTACTCAATCTGATTCTTCTTTCTTGGTAATTCTTTGATTTAGTGGTTTTGAGAGTGTCCATAGATTTCTTAATTTCTGATTCTAATCTTCTTGATCTCTTCAGCAATATGGGGACATCCGCATGCTCTACACCACTTGTAAACATCGTGGTTTTGTTATGATATCTTACTATGACATAAGGGCAGCACGAAATGCAATGCGAGCACTTCAAAACAAGCCATTGAGGCGTCGGAAACTGGATATTCACTTCTCTATTCCAAAGGTAACAATTTCATGACTTGTCTTTTAAATGGTAATGGCGTTGCAGTTCATTACGGGTTCTAGGACTACGTTGATCCTCTAACCAGCCCTTTCAGATTTTTTTTTAATATCTCCTGCTCTCTTATTTTTTATGAGGTCTTTTGAAAACTAATATGAACCAATTGATGGCTAGAAAAACGTTGAGAACCTGAATGTTTGAATGTACAATAGTACCAAATGGAGATGTGATATAATTTGTATAACCTATCACCTATTTTATTGAGGAAACCTTCAAAAGTAAGTCATGAATAATAGATATCATCCATTGTGATTGTCCTCATACTTATGCAAGTATAGTTCATACTGTGGACTGTACTTCCTGGTCCATGGTTAACCTAACATAATCTGGAATAAAATCTGAATTGGTCTACTGCAAACCACTTTTGTGTCGATGTATGAAGCATTTGAAGCTAAATGAGCCTATCTTCATTGTCTGGCTTCTTTAGGTGCTGAATCAGTTGCTCAAGATTTTTGGCAATGACCTTGGGTGAATTTAGCTGAGATGGATCTGAACCAGCATAGACATGCAATCAACTAATTCACATGCCTCATAAACACCAGAGATCCAAATTGGTTTCCCTTTTGCAATCTATGATGGTGCTTCTGCTGGTATAAAAGTTGAGCTTAAGGCTAAGTAACAGTTCAACAAATTGTGTGTAAATAACATAACATATCTGTACTCAATTGTGCAAAGGGTTTGGTTATGATCAGTTGTAAGGTAATCTCCATTCTGAACCTAACTGGATCTATGTCCACCATTCAGCTAATAAAAAATTTATATTGTATATGACTGTATATTTTATATGGACACATTTATTAAAAAATATAGATTGCACATATTTAATTATAATTTTGTACAGACTTTATATTTTATATAAATGGACAAATAATGATGTCACTGCAAGTAATGTTGATTCTAACAGGATCTCAATTCTTATTTGGTGGTGAAACTGAGAATTTTATTTTTTTTTCTTCAACTTCACTCAGGGAAAATGGAAAAAGTCCTGTTCTTATTATCATGATATTTCTTGTCATCTTTACACTGTCATTTTATTGCTTGCCAAGAATGTTATTGTGAAGGTCCAACCATACTAAGAACTGGACATACGGCAGGGATGCACCTTTATTTCAGCTATTTCCTATGACATCTGTAAATGCCTATGAATTACAAATTTTCTTGTAGTGACATACATATGTGATATTAGGACAATCCTTCGGATAAGGATATGAATCAGGGTACTCTTGTGGTATTCAACCTTGATTCCTCTGTTACAAGAGATGATCTCCGTCAGATATTTGGTATCTATGGTGAGATCAAGGAGGTGATGTAGCTCTTGTGCTCTCATAATGTCATGGCTTTGGTACTAATCTCAAGTTTTTTTCTTTATGTATTGGTAAAGTTGATATTAATGTTAATCTTGAATTTGATCTTATAGATACGTGAAACTCCACACAAACATCATCACAAATTCATCGAATTTTATGATGTTAGAGCCGCTGAAGCTGCTCTTCGTGCCCTAAATAGGAGTGATATTGCTGGCAAGAAAATTAAGCTTGAGCCTAGCCGTGCTGGAGGTGCAAGACGGTGGTACTATACAAACAAACTCACTTTTGCTCCCACATTTCTAGATATGTAACTGTAGCAAACTTAGCCTCTGAATATTTTTCTTTAGTTGATGATGTTTGGAAATAACATGGAAATGGTTATTTATAACTCCATTTAATTTCCTGCAGTATTTTTGTCTTAATTTGTAATTTTGTATTATCATTGTTATTAATGTTCTTAAGTAGAATCGGGTTGAACATTATCTTTATTTTTCACTTTTGAGCTTTAAATAGTCATTCTTTTAAGTTCTTTTTTATGTTGTGTCAGCAACTCAGCTCTGATTCATGTGATTGCAACCGTTGTTGATTAATTTGAATTACTAGAAACTTGGTGTTTGACCTAGGTTATGTCATTTTCTTGAATTGTATGTGTCTGTTTATATTTGAAGTTCATCAAATTTTTAAATGTGAATCCATCTTTTTTGTTGGTCTTCCTTTTATAGACTACTCTAGGATTCAATTGAGCTTTCATGATCAAGGGTCGGCCGATAAGCCTACTAATGAATAGTGTTTTACCCTTCTAAAGCTTATATTCTTTTCATGAGAAGATTATATCAACACCATTGTGCAGGATTGAGGAAGCAATTTATAATAGTCTGGCGTTTTGATCATTATTAGAACACATTATATTATACAGCATGTAAAAATTATTGAAATTATGACTTTAATTGCCTATGACATGAATATCACTGGACATCAAGGGTCCAATCACTGATAAATCTACAAAAAAAAAGGGCTCAAATCTCTGAAGGTTAGGGAGCTCCTTTCGAATCTATGTATTGGTAGTGCATATAAGATGGCAGAGGTAGCCTGTCTATAGACCTTTTTCCATGTCAACCCAGTGTAGGAAAACATACAATGGTCAGATGACGACAATGATATTAGCCATTACATCAAAGAATTTGGAGGACAAAATGTACTTAATCATGGTCGTTAGTTAGATAAACTCGCAAAAATCGCTAGAGTTTTTGTTTGATGTAAGCATAGTTTATATTGCCAATTATTAGAACTTATTTTTGAATATATTAGCGTAATTTTGGAGAGAAAATTTATACTGAAGCTTCAGGCAAATTACCTTCTCTTACAATATAACATATCTTATTTTCTAAATTATGTTTTTTTCTCTGCATAACTATTAAATTTAGATCACTTCTATTATTCTCCTTTTCAATAGTAACAATAAATTATCTTCTTTTTTTTTTCATTATTTGTGTTCATCTACAGTTAATCTCTTATTTTTCATAGGAAATTAGTCTTTAACAGTTTGTTGTAGTTAGCTTTCTAAATGATAATTTCTTTCTAAGGCTTCTAATAATTATTGATCTAGAAGAACATATCAATATTTTTAAAATGGTATTTGAATAGTTGTCTAGTTACTTCTGGATTCCCTAGTGATAAATTCTGGCTCTCCTTGTGTAGTTATATTTATTTATGTTGGCATCTTAGATAAGATCCCAGTGATTCAAGTTCAGAGTTGTGTTTCTCAGGGCATATAATATTTTTTATTTACTAAAAAATAGGGTCAATATTTGAGGAATTCGAATTTTTATTCTGTGATATTGTCAGTATTCTGTATTGCTTTCACAATAGGAGCCACATATATCTACTATAGGTATTTGATTCTAAATGTGCTTCTCTCATGGACATTTCCCTAAAAAGATTATGCTTTATTACTATTGGCGGAACCTGAGGGTTGAAGACAGCGCAAATTGTATTGTCATGGCTTATCCTACTAAAATTTGATGTTTGAATTTGTATCTCTCTTTGGCTTATTAATCAGTGACAAATATTTCTTTACCAACAGCTTGATGCAACAGTTATCTCCGGAATTGGTGCAGGAAGAATTAACTGGACGCTGGCAGGGAAGCCCTAAGAACTCTCTCCCTGGGTGCTTTGGTATGATATTTGGAGTTTTTCATTTCAAGGGACATGCTGCTAGTTGTGCCTTGTATTTCTCATGTCAGGTTATGCTTTTGACCTATGAAGGTGACCTAATGCATGCCAAAATTTTCAGGTTTATCCTCTCTGGGAACAATAATACCCAACAGTCTTGAAAATGGAGCTATCCAGGGTTTAAACTCGGCGGTTCGGGCACCATTTACCCCACTTATGGGGGCCACATTCCATGGAATCTCATCTAGTGTGCCACAGAATTTATCTCCCCCTGTAAAGATTACATCTATCAGTGATCATACCAATCAAGCCACTCATGCTGATGTCAACCATTCAATGGGCCAGATAAATTTTGGATTTCAAGGCATTGCTGGTTTCCATCCTCACTCCGTTTCAGAATATCACAATGGAGTAACTAATTTTTTTCCTTCCAACTCAAATACTATGTCACCCGTGGGTATTGGTGTCATCTCTAGACCATCTGAAGGAATTGATAAAAGGCAACTACACAAATTAGGCTCTGGTAGCTTTGAGGGGCATTCTTTTGATCCTAATGAAGGTACTAAGTCGAACTGAGCTTCATGTGGTCAAAGTACTGTTATTCACATTTATATATGGTCATTACCTTTTTTCAAAGTTGGAAATAGCTTATGGTAACTAATGGTGCATCATACTTTCTTGATATTCTGATGACATATAGTGAATGCTGGTAGTTTTGAGATTTGTGATTTTTTTTTTTTGAGATCCATATCCCTTTATTGTTTGCTTGGTAATGAGCTAATTCATTCAATTAATTTCAGCTTTTGGTGTCTCCTCAAATGGAAGCTGTCCTCTTCACGGGCATCAGCATGTTTGGAATGATACAAATGCATACCACCAAAAAACCCCTAGCACAATGTTATGGTCAAATTCTCCATTTATAAGCAATATTCCTTCTCATCACCCATCTCAGATTCATGGAATTCCTAGAGCACATTCTCATACGCTAAACACAGTTCTTCCATTACACCATCATATTGGTTCAGCACCTTTAGTCGATCCATCACTTTGGAATAGTAGGCCTGCCTATTCTGGGGATTCCATTAAACCTCCTGCTTTTCATCCTGCATCTCTTGGAAGTATGGGGCTTTCTACAATTTCTCAGTTGAAATCACTAGAACTTGCTTCTTGTAACATCTTTTCTCACTCTGGTGGGAACTGTCTGGACCCTTGTATTTCTCCCGCACATGTTGGAATTGCCTCACCGCAGCAAAGGGGTCAGATGTTCCATGGAAGGAATCCAGTTGTCCACATGCCTGCTTCATTTGATGGTCCTGACCGGATCAAGAACCGACGAAATGACACAAATACTAATCAGTGTGATAATAAAAAGCAGTATGAACTTGACATTGAATGCATTATATGCGGTGAAGACTCTCGAACAACACTAATGATAAAAAACATCCCCAACAAGTATGTTGAATTCTTCCCTTTATCTGCATCTTCCTTCTTTCTGGCTGTGGATGAAACATATTTACTTGTTACCAATTGATTTATATAGGTATACATCTAAGATGCTGTTGGCTGCTATTGATGAAAACCATCGAGGAACTTATGACTTTATTTATTTACCAATTGATTTCAAGGTACAATAGCATCTTTTATATGACTCCCTGTTGCTGTGTATATTAGCCTCCACCATTGATCAACTAATGGAATATGTTCACCCTTCTATTTTTCAGAACAAATGCAATGTTGGTTATGCGTTTATAAACATGATCAATCCTCAGCATATTATTCGGTTCTATCAGGTTTGTTTCTTCTCATGGATTAAGCCACTGAAGAAATAGGTTGGACTATCCATTAAATATAAGTATAATACTTATTATACATCTTTAACATGTTCAAGATGCTTCCATCAGTTAGCTTTTTCACCCATGTTCTTACCTACTTATTGGTAAGGTATTAAATTGTCTTTTGAGGGAACTATCTGGAATCATCTTTTATCTGTGTACTTTTGCTTCCTTGAATCATCATTCTGTTTATTTAGTGTTGCATGAGCAACTCATTTTCCAAATTTAAAGTTGTGAGTTGCTAAAATGTTGGATCTTCTGCAGTCATTTAATGGTAAGAAGTGGGAGAAGTTTAACAGCGAAAAGGTGGCATCACTTGCATATGCCAGAATACAAGGGAAAATGGCTCTCATTGCTCATTTCCAGAACTCAAGTCTGATGAATGAAGATAAGCGTTGTCGTCCTATCCTCTTCCATACAGATGGTCCTAATGCTGGGGATCAGGTATGAAGCATCAATGCACTATAATTTTCATCATTCAGATTTCTCTCTTATCCTGTGTCGTTGATTGCTGGTGGTTTATCCTGAAATTTTATTGGTGGGTTGTGTTGACAAAAAATTGGCATGATTAACAAAATATGTTTATTTTATTTTATTTTATTGTTTAATAATTACATAACATTTGTGCGACAGACACATACAATATTTTTATTTTTTCATTTAATAATTACATAACATATTTAATTTTCTCTTTTTGAACCCCTGACTGTTTGACTGTGCATAGTAACCAGCAGAATGTCTCTTCAAAGACATTACTAACAAAATATGTTGACGACATTGTCCCTTCCATTGTCATAATCTTTTGCTATAGCAGAACTAACATACTTCGAGCAGTGTTAGGGCCAAGATTTCACTCAAGGGTAGCAACAAAATCTATTTGAGGACAATAAGCGTAGATCTCAACCATAGTCTGAGACCTTCTTGTTCGATTGTATTTGCATAAAAAATTAGGTGAATGAAACTTCTGATTAAATAAAGTATATAAATAATCATCAATGAGAAGACAAGTATTTAACAAAATGATAAAATCAAATGAGTTCTCCAGCGAACTCAGGAAAAGAATATTATTGACTTGTCACATATAATAGTATGTGACTTAACCATAAGCATGTCACATATAATAGTAACCTACTTGACCAACTCAACTTTTAAACTTGTATCAATCACTGGTAACCTCTTCGAATTATGAGATACATCCTGCAAAATCGTCAGCTCCTTCCTCTGCTAGACAGTTTTGTTCTTTCTACCAATGTAAATGAGCAAGAGCCATAAGGACATTCACTTATATGGCAAACTCTTGGTAATTTGATAAAGTTCCATCTAATTATTAGCAAAAATAATAGATGCCTTTATTTTATGATGGTCTAATATGCTCCCAGATTCCAGACATGCTCAAATGAAGCTGAAGCCACAATTATTGAAGTTAGAAAAATACTCCTTATTGAAAAGTTAAATGGAACTATAAGCTGATATTTAATAATTAAAATTTTAAAGTAACAGTTTAGCAATGGCAGTATCATCCTTGCTCTTCTTCTAATCATATTAATTGTGAAGATCTGAAAAAAACTTGTACTCAGGAATGAACTTCCGTTAATTATGTGCTCTGTTGTTGTCTGTGCTTCTTAAGAACTCCATCATCTAGTTTGCGATCTATAATGATAATTTTCTGTCAATATATTTCTCTATTTAGATGCTCTAATCATCATGCATCGTACCTAAAATGTCCATATAGGACATTAGTATAGTGCATACTATCCCCATAATTTGAGCAAAGTCATTTTAAAACTCTATATGGAGAAAACAGAAAACTAAAAGAGGGACAAGGAACTTTAGATTGAAAATTAAGGGGGTAAAACATCATTGGTTTTCATATAAAAACTGGAAAACCAGGGAAGAGGAAGGGTCTGGCCATTTTTCTTTATCATGTTTGTATCTTCGGATGTCTAATATCAGGGCAAACTCATTTAGTTGGTTCCTACCTATGAACCATATCGAAGTATACTGAACAACTTATAAGCTATCTCAGCCTCGTAGCAAGCATTATAACCAGTATCCTTCTGATGCTACTTGATAAACACATTTAATGTTGGAAAATCCAAAAATACATCTACCTTCTAAGTCATATACTCCATGTTATGTGTATTAAAGAAGAGTTCATGCTGCAGGCCTGAATATGTCATATTATGCCTGGTCAGTCTTTTGTATTGCAGTTTCTCGGTATGGTATTTTTATGTGTTTGGGTTTTTATTGTAGGAGCCCTTCCCTGTGGGCACCAGTATCAGGTCAAGGTCGGGCAGCTCGAGGACTGTCAGTGGTGGCGAAGAGAACCATCAGGGATGTCTGTCCACCTCCACAAATGGAGAAGCTTCTTGCGTTGCGAGTGCTGCTCCAGGATCTACAAAGGATTCAGAGTGACCCAAGCCACTCTCTCTCTCTCTCTCTCTCTCTCTCTCTCTCTATATATATATATATATATATATATATATATATATATATTGTTGACTAGTGTCTAGCAATTACTCCTGCAATATGGTGGGTTGTGGTCGCCCTTGGATTCTATTTTGGAGTGCGATACCGAGGAAGGGGCTTCCAATTTTCTTGTGTTATCGGTGGAAGTCAAAGTGTGAAAGGAGCTGGGAGTGCCTCAAGATTTTGAACTGCTGTCGGAGGGAAATAACAATGTACAGAGATTTCAAGAGGACTTTTGCGGTTTCGGAAGACCTCCATATTTCCTCTCCTTTCTGTTTTTGCTTGTTGAGTCCAAAGCCCATTATTTGTACAGGGTTCTGCTAAATTTTTTGGAGCTGTGTTGTGAGTGTTGAGATCTATCCCCGGCACCTTGTCTGTTATATCATTGTACATGTCTATATATCATGAATTTTGAAGTGTTCTGAATCTTTTTGATCTTGTTGTTTGTTGCAATTTATTCTTTCTTTTCTAACTTGTATTTGACGTGTGTTACATAATTTGATAATGCCTCAGTTTTTTTAGTTTATAGTATCTGAGAAAGTTAGCTTAATATTTTTATCGTTTGTGGATATGAGTTTTAGCCGATAGGCTATCAGCACCTTAATTGATTACTTTGTATTTTCGGTGGAACCGGATTTGGTGGAGATAACAGCTTAGTGTTATTGTTGTTGTTAATTATTCTTAATTAATTACACTTTGGGACTGCTACGCTTTTATGTATTAAAATAATCTCCTGCTTACAGAACATATACACAATCTTTTGGGACAGCTGCGGTTGCCCTAATAGGAGGGAGTGTTAACGAAGCTATGTCGAGTCAATCTACAAACAATTTGGACAGCTGAAGTGGTCTTCCAAGAAGGTAAAAGAAATAGTTAGAACATCCTCATGAAGGATTACTTCTTAAGATCCCAATCCCAATCCTCATGAAGTTAGAAGTACATTCATAAAAATAATAAGCAGTTCATTTAGTAGGGTGACAATTTCTACCCAAAAAGAAGGAAAAAAGTTCACAAGGAGTGCTGTTTTATGTGGTTGACTAGTTTATAGATTTAGGATAGATGCCCATTCGTATAAGTTAATGCTTCTTTGTTCGACCAAAAACTATTAGTATTATGTATTATTAGTAGAGGCTTCATCGTACGTTTAGTCATCATCTATTACTCTCGGATCAGATGGTGCCACGTGCACGGCTCGGGCCGGGTCGGTTCGAGGTTGTGGACCGGCGTGATTGGGCTCCCCTATTAAGCTGGGGGGGTTAGTTACATTACGCCCATCGCGGTCGGATCGGTTTGGGCGCTTTGTATCGAGATCTAGGACAGGAAAAGGCTAACCGGCGACGGAGGAGAGCGAGCCGCGATGAAGGAGACGACCAGCTCTTCCGCGAACGATCCGAGGTTGCCGTCCGCCGCGAAGCCCTACGTCCCTCCCACCTTGTCGCCGCAGGATCTCCCCATCGACTACGCCGGATTCCTCGCCGTCGTCTTCGGCGTCGTCGGCGTCACGTTGCGCGTATTTCTTCTTTTCCTTTTCTCCCTCCCTCCCTCTCTCTCTCTCTCTCTCTCTATTACGTATTAGCTATTTATGGCATTAGATCTGAAAATCTATGCGTAGTTTTTGGTGTTATTCAATCGTAATACTAAATCTATTTGATGAATCGATCGATGAGCACAGACGGCTGGTGGCTCCACACAAGTGGATGAGTTGGTGATGGTTGAAATTGCGGCATTCCTTTCATACGAAAGGAATTTCGTTGATGAGCACAAAGGGATTGTTTTTTTCTCCGCGTTGTTGAAAAACCCTTCTTAAAGGGAGTTAGAATCTGATCCTAGAGCGTCGTGCAGTACGTACGAAACCTTCTTAAGTCATTGATGCCCTGAATCGAGATAGGACACCCTGATCCTTGTTCATCGGAAGAAAGGCTGAAAATGACATCTGACCGTGTAATATCAATTACTGATGGTAAACAAAATGGTCTCATTTCTCATACTTAGCTATGAGTTTTGACCTTTAGACCACACAATTCTGGACCAGACAAAATTGGCCGTTTTTCTTTTTTCTTCTTCCTCTCAACCAATTCCATAAAAACAAATAATTTAGGAGTAGATAAAGGCTTGGGATGTATTCTTCCTCTTAAAGATGTTGATGCCCTAGATTGGGTATTCTGATTTTTTTTTTCTTTTCATAAAGGGTAAGTCTCGAAGGTGGGATTCGAGCCCAGGTATTCTAATTCTTGGGCATGGATGAAGGCTTAGGATCATATTTGATCATCTTATATTATTTGTCTGCCTAAGTGAAATGGTTTCACAATCAACCACAATTGTTGACCTTTAATTTCATCCATTTTGGGCTCTCTCGTGGTTGAGATTCCACTAGTAGTTGTGTGTAATATAAGAAAAATTTACTAAAAGAGATTAATTAGGTACAAAGAGCCTTGATTTAGAGCTGACAGAGTGCTTTTACGAGTATACATTGCCTTAGTACGTAGGGAATTATGAAAGGATCAATTTGTGAAATTTTGTCTTGAATTAATCTTTCACAAATGAATTAGTTAAATATGTAACTTATGTGCTTTATTGAGCTGAAATTCTATTATGATCGTTGGACCATTTGCATGATGTTCTTTATGTTCTTTATTCTATCAATGGAACAATTTAGATGTAAAGTACATTGCTTTTAAGTGTTAGTGTCAGATGAAAAATTAAACTTCTTAAATGCCTAGTTGGGAACGATAGAATTGTAGGTACAATTTACCTTAGTTGTGGTGGTTGAGAATATCAACCATCTAGCAGATCAACATGTCATGGTTTCCTAGCTCATGGTGATAAGCAAAATGTCAAATTAAGCTGAAATATTATAATAAAAATATCATTAGGAGATTTTAAAAGGGTCCAAATACTTTCTTGGGTATCTACCATATGTCATTGGCATATACTAGTTTTCTCCATATTAAGGGCATATGTGTCATATCGTCATTGTATATCAAATACATATACAAGACCATATTTTGTATGCTCTATTGAATCTAGGACGATTTATATAATTGGTGTACTTTATCATTTATAAAAATCGAGACAGAACTTTTAAACTCATAAATATTGTCATTATAGCGTTTGTGTTTTGTTATTTGGTGCTTCCGTAGTTCATACCATCTTTCTTCCTTTTCTCTCCCCAGCAAGGGGCCCAAGCTTGATTGCTCATAATCATGATTTCTGCGATCATGATCATTTTTGTTGAAGAAGCTCGTTAGATGGTCAGCGCCGCGACAAATTATGAGATATTCATGACTAGTTATTACATGTATACTTCACAGTAATGAATTTTTCTTTCTCTGCAGTACAAGCTCTGTTCGTGGCTGGCGATCATCTTTTGTGCTCAGTCCCTTGCAAACATGAAGAATTTTGAGAATGATTTGAAACAGTTATCTATGGCTTTTATGTAAGTGACTGTTTGGATCGAGTGCTCCTCTTCTTAAATCACTGTTCATTGGTTTTGCCAATGGTATCAGATATGCAAAATGTTGCATTGTGTGAATATCAATTGATGACTGATGTAGCAACCACAGCTTCCATGATGTTTTGCCAATATCAAACTAATTACTTTTAAACTTTTGGCAGGTTTGGAGTCATGGGGTTGGTTACTAATTACTTGGGACCTTCTCGTGCTGCCAAGCAACGCTAAATTCAATCTCATGCAATTATCAGCCATCGTCTTTTATGCGACTCATGAGAGTTAAATTTCAAGTAATGGTTTTCGGGTTTTAGACGATATAATAGCAGCATCAGGCTTCTTGTGGTGTATCCTATGCGTATCCACTGAACATTTTTCTGTGTCATGCAAAGCTACATATCTCATGAATATCCTATGCCTATCCAGAGAACATTTTTCTCTGTCATGCAAAGCTACATATCTTATGCCTTATCCGATGTTCATAAATTTCTTTTTGATTTGTGTTTTCTCCTGAATATTCAACAAACATGTTTTCTAGTTAATTGTTCCTGTAAATCTGCAATTGGTGCTGATTGACATACTTTGCTGTCGAGGATAAAAGATTTCATGTGCAGGAGGTGCAGACTCTTTCTGGTATGTGGCTTGCTTGAAAATTATATTTGAGCATGCCCACAAAAGACTACTTTTGATGCTCATTTAATAAAGTTTGCTACTATATCTACTTGATTGATGATTTTTTGCCACCAATGCTTTTAGTTTGCCTTCGGCTGCTTGACAGGAGGCATGACAATGTACAGAATTGTGATTCACACACTATATGTGTGTTGTCGTCCATTAGTTTGATCTTTTACCCACCTCGTACAAGATGGTTCACCATCATGCGTTGAAGTTAATGGATCTTCCAATGTTTTACTTGACTCGCACACATCATTTCTGCCCTCTTTTAACTGCTACTGGGGTTGGCGTTATTACGGGTTTCTTGATGTACTACTTTTCTTATTGTTTGCAAGCCATGGCCCCACGAGGACTTATGATCACAGGGTTTAAGATCCGAAACCGGGAGGTCACCTGCTCGGGGTGGCATATATGCATCCGATCCGTTTCGAACTCCGAACCCGCAAATAGGTTCTTAATTGCGAAGGGTTTTCGTCAGTTCGCGCTCGAGTTCTTAGGGCTTCGGCAGGCTGGCGACGGGGAGTGGATACACGTGGCTTCCATCCGTTGCCAGCTCGGCCACTCGCAGCCGTTCATCGCCTCATCCCTGCTATATAGTTCCCCCGTCGCCAGTCTGCCGTGTTCGGCCACTTTCCGATCATCTCAGATCGTGCGCCCGCGCGCGCGTTCTTTCCGTTCCTTCCTTCTCTCATGCTTCCAACAATTTGAATCGTTTTGGTTCACATTGTTTTTTCTTTCTTCGTTATGATTAGGGTTTACGTTCTTCTCCAATTTAGGGTTTTATAGAGCCGTTTTTTAAATCGATGTTGTGGTTTGCATAGGATGGAAAGAATCGCCGATCTCAGCGTCATTTGATTTGGTTTCTTGACGACCACGTATGCTATAGCGATGGCGAAAAAGAAAAAGAAGTCGAAGAATGGAGAAGCGGCGGCATCATCCGCTCCTCCACCTCCTTTAAAGAAGATAAAGAAAAATGATAAGAAGAAGAAGAAGAACAAAGGTGCAGTTGCAGCACCTGCCTCGGCGTCTACGGCTTCACCCGCTGCTAATAATAGCGCGCCTGAGGGTAAGAAACAGCAGGTGCCCGTAGAGAAGAGCTCGGGGTTCATCTTTATGTGCAGCGGCGGGACGAAGCCCGAGTGTTACCGGTACCAGGTCTTTGGGCTGCCCAAAGGAAAGAAAGAGTTAGTCGAGAAGATCAAGCCTGGCACCAAGCTTTTCCTCTATGATTACGACCTGAAGCTTCTTTATGGGGTCTACAGAGCGGCCTGTCAGGGAGGGATGGACTTGGAACCGGACGCATTTAGAGGGGGTTTCCCAGCTCAGGTAACTCAAGTTCTGGGGTGCTCCGCTCCCTCTTTAGCTGCTTTTTGGTATGTCAGTGTTTTTGACGTTTAAGACAGCCTATACAACTTTGATTCTCGGGTTTCTTCATATTTGCTGCGTCAGTAGACAGCAGCCTTTAGAGAAATTATCTGCATGTTGGAAGACTAGATGACCGGTATATGATTGACTGGTTTTACAGTAACTAAAAATCTGAACATTGCTTGAGATAGTAGGGAGAGATGCTTGTCTTTTTTATGCGGTCTTGGTGTTAGATATCACTGTAGATTGCTGATAAAGATAGTTGGAATAATTTTTTATGCATTAAAATATGAGGGTGATTGAGTCTCATGTTTTTGGCTGAAATGTCGACTACATGAAAGGTCACATTAGTTTTTAAAATCGGCTGATTCTGATCCTGGTTGTCTGATTTTTGGATTTGGATTAGGCTTCTCGATCCAAGAAATCTACAGTTCTCAGGATGATAAATGGACCTAGGTGGTTGGAACTCCTCAGGATCGGTTGATTTGTTTCATATTTAGCCAATTCTGATGATCTAGAAATAATTCCAATCGATTCCGTCTTGAAATCTTGTCATCTTACTTGTTGCCAAACTGGATTCAGATCGAGTAAAGATTGGAAAAGAAAGAAGAGAAGAATAGGAAGAAAGAGGAGAGAAAGAGGGAGGGGTAAATCAAAGAAAATATGAGAAAGGAGAGACAGAGAGGAAGATGAGGGGGGCTGGAAGAGTTGAGCAGGGAGAAGGGCTCCAAAGGAGCGGAAGCAGAGGATTTACATCAACCTGTTTGCAAGGCATTCATTTGCTGCTCGCTTGCTGGTCACCGTATGCTTAATTTCTACTTCTCTGGCGGCCACTCTCCAGTCATTATCAAGCATGTTAATATATAAATTGTAAATAATGTTATATGTATCTATATAATAATATATAGCTATATTCATGGACACAGATAGTCATGTGTAGGAAAATGTGCATTATTGGTTGATGATTTATGTAACTATGTACAACATAATTATATGTTATTAACTAATTATGTATATCATTAGTAACTTGCATTTATATAATTATTTTGATAGATCCTGATCCCAGTTCCGATTTTATGGACTATGAAAGTCAATGAGGCATGATTTATTGTAGAAAAGTACTTGGTGTCTCAGATGCAAAGCATACTAAACCTGGATTCGTTTGGCTGATGCCTCAACAGGTAGGTAAGTTGCTCATTTTGATAACATCCAAAGTAAGAAGTTTTTGTGATTATAACAATATGCTAAAATAAGGATAAAAAAATAAACTTTGCTAGATAAGAAGGCGGCTGCAGAATTATTGGAACAAGAAGGAAAGATTTGTGCGCATGTAGACTTTTTAGCATTTCCCCCTTTTATTTTTTATTGTTTAGTTTCATTTTTTTAGCCAAAAAACAAATAAGTTTCCAAGGTGACACAGCATACAACCTCATTGGGGCCCATGTATATCATGGGCATTCTCTTTTTGTATTTGATTTATAGTTTTCATTCCTTTCCACTTACACTTTTCATTCCTTTCCAATAAATTATTGATTTTAGAAATTCTATAGATATGAAAGTTATTGTCGTAGAAATTCTATGCAATATGTCTGATCTGCTTGTGTCAACATGGGTTCATGAGCAAACCATAATAAGCCTCATCATTTTTTTTAAAGTTTGGAGTTATTTATTTCTTCATGGCCACTCATCGAGCAGGAGACTAAATCTTAAACATTCATTTTTTAAGCTTATAGCAATTACTTGCTTTTGTTTCGTTGTAGGTGAAATTCAAGATTGATAAGGATTGCCTTCCTCTTCCTGAAGCTACATTTAAACTTGCTATTAGAGATAATTATAACTTTAAGGGCAAGTTTTCCCCACAACTGAATTCAAAACAGGTACTTTACAACGTTCTATATTTTCCTTTCTTGAAGGTACTGTTACATGTCTATGTTCCACATTATTTGGTGATAAACTGCATTTTTTTGTTCCTCTTTGAATTGAAATTCAGGTCCATAAATTGTTGTCGTTGTTCCGTCCTGTTACTCTGCCACCTGAGCCTGCACCTGCCATTCATTATGTTGAGAATCACCGATCCCCGGCTCATTATTTACCTCCTGCGGATCCAAATGGGTCACAATATTTGGCACGTACTCCAACTCCTGAGCGGCGCTACATCTCTCAAGTTCCTCTTTCTGCCAGCGGTCCCTATGCACGTCTCCGAGTAGTTCCTGCAGTTGAACCTGGACGTGTGCTTTCATCTTTTGAGCCTGCTGCTGATCCATATTACCCGGTACCTCCAGTCGCGTCATATTTTCCGGCACCTCCAGCCAAGTCGTATTATCTGGCACCACCAGCTGATTCATATCACCAGGCACCTCCAGCTGATCCATATTCTCGGGCACCTCCAGCCGAACCATCTTATCGGGCACCTCCACCCGATCCATCTTATCGGAAACCACCAGCCAATCCATCATATCGAGCACCCCCAGCCGCACCTCCAGCTGATCCTTCTTATCAGGCACCTCTAGCTGATCCATCTTATCAGGCACCTCCAGCTGATCCGTCTTATCGGGCACCTCCAGCTGATTCTTATAATCGGGCCCCTCCAGCTGATGCGGCTTATCAGGCACCTCCAGCTGATTCTTATTATCGGGCCCCTCCAGCTGAACTGTATTATCGGGCACCTCCAGCTGATTCTTATTATCGGGCCCCTCCAGCTGATTCTTATCATCGGGCCCCTCCAGCTGATCCGTATTATAGGGCACCTCTAGCTGATTCTTATTATCGGGCCCCTCCAGCTGATCCGTATTATCGGGCACCTCCAGCTGATCCATATTGTCCAGCACCTCTAGCCGATCCATATTATCAAGCATCCTCAACTGATCAATATCAAGTGGAGTCTGTGCGAGCTTATTATCCAGAAAATCCTGTTCCATCTGCAAGGTAAGTAATTGTTTGGAGACATTGCCGGTGATGGCAAACGTGCTTGATTCATGCTTTATGTTTGTGCTTGTGCTGTTTCCTATAGATCTTCTTTCCTCTCAGCACAATTTTAGATCATAAACACTTGAACAATTTTAAGATTCTAGCAATTACTAAAGATTCTTTTGTACCTTCTGGGTTTTCTGATTATTTTGTGACTGCCAGATTGATTACCTCTCATGACCTGTGCTCTTAGACTGGAAATACTATAGATCATTGATTGATATTAATATTTTTGTGTTTTGTTTGCTTTGATATTCTTGATGCCAACTGAAGTTCTTCTGCAACAGGATTCGTTATAGGATGGTGCCTGAGATAATTCCAAGTGATCCCCTCCTTGCAAGGGACTATGACACTGTAACATCGAGGGAGGGAGGACTGGCTCCACAGACAGATCGCGCTGCTGACGATGAGCTCTACAACCCTGACCATGCAACCTCAAGCAGGGTGGCTGCGTCATCCATGCCTGTTTCTTCAGTCTACCCATTTGTAGGTGCAATGCCATATCGCTAATTATTTATGACTGGTGAATGTTTTGATGCTGTCCCTTATCTGTTGCTTTCACATGTTGGACTCGGCCAGTGTCATGTTTTGTACGAAGGCAGCTAGCTACTCTAGATGTTGTGATTAAAGGCTTCGTGTGAACCATTGTTGCAAATTAATGAAACAACTATTGTTAGGACAACACCTGAATCGATTAAAAAAAAAAAAATCTTGTTGTTTTCTTAATTATGCTGCAATGTAACTCGTTCGATTTGGTCATGTACCTGTTTCAAAGAATTGCTTCACCATTTATGTTATTGAAGCCAGCCTAATTTGACAGATGATTTTTTCTTTTATTTTTGCCTCTGCTGATGTGTCACAGGACCATATAAAGTTCCACTCCATTTTCACCTGAGAAGATGCATGTGGTATGCCTGGCAGGAAAAAAGAACAAAGGTTACTTGCATTCTCCTTAGTCTCGGTATAATTTTTCCTTTAATTGAGATAAAGAGCTGGTTTGCCATCAGTTAGACCAATGATTTAATAACAACTCTGATTAAAATTCTTTTTTGTCTTTTAAAGACTCCAAAGTTATTAGCATTTCTGAAGTTGGCTTCAGTTTTTTAGTAGCTGGTCATTATTGATTTGACTGAATAATTCCAGGAATCATTTGAGCAGCTAAATCTTTTCAATACCACAGAATTCTATAATTAACAGCACATAGTCTTTTAATCGATAAATACTATTTTTTTTAAACTTAAGATAAAAAATATATATATATATATATTATATTGTTTCTGTGGCTTTTCATAAGTACTTCTATAAATTAGGTGCATAATCGTCTGGAAACCATTAATTTAGGGGACCTCTTCACTTCCTTTCTATTTTTTATATCCGATAGTTAAAATAGCTGAGATTTTGGTTTTTCTATTTACTAGCTGAGAACCCCTTTCGCTACCTTTTCTACTCTATACTTCGGTGAACACGGAGCAGTTAACACGCGCGTCTTATGAATCAAAACTGCGTTTAGTAAATAATAATAATAATAATAATAACAATAACTGCGTTTTATTTTCAGTTTCGTGACCTCAAGCCCTGGTTCGTTTGTAGAGGGTATTCTAGTAATTAAGTATTCAGTTATTACCCTCTCCTATAAATTCGTAATTCTTGGTGGTTTTGACCCAGAGAAGCCCTAGTTTCGGATCTCTCGCGGGCGCCCTGGAAAGCAGCGAAGCGGTGGGGCAAAAGGTACATGGAGCAGACGCCGGGGGCCGTGTCCAAGACCGTGAAGGATGTGTCTCCCCACGAGTTCGTCAAGGCGTACTCAGCCCATCTCAAGAGATCCGGCAAGGTTCCACCATATTCTTCCCTGTTCACGCGCCGCGCCCTCTTTTTTTTTTAAGCGATGAAAAGTTCGCATTTGTTCCCTTTTTTTGTGCTTGTCAGATGATAAAACGCCACACTTTTCCATTTTAGCGTGTCTCACAAAAATCACATGCAGCTGCGTGGGATCTATTACCTGAATCGTTTATTCTACTATTCTTGCATCTATCTATTTTTCCCCGCCACGGACAATGCAATGTCAGTTGAGCAAATAAAGGTTATAATGTACTGTTGATCTTGTGGAACCTTTATGATGAGTTCAGTTTGTGGCTGGGCGGTTTCCATGATTCTGGTCATGGCAAGAGAATTTCCAGCTAGAGGGATGGTACACACGTCTTGCCGCAAAGGAAGGATTAGGGTTTAGTCCCCAAAGAGAGGTACAAGGATTGACGAGGGATTTAATATTTGATATTCCCGAAAGTAATAATCAAGTGATGCCAAAAGTGTCTCGTAGCTTAAAAGGTCTTAGCTAGAAATTACCCCAGGTCTGATCGTATTAGATTTTCATCAATTTCCTAGTAGTTTTTCTCTGTATTTATAATTCACTTTTGCATAATTTTTTTGTGATACTTATAACATGCTTACTTCTCAAAATATCATATGATGATTGTTAACCTTAGGAATATGTTGATTTCTGTCGAGCATTTGGCTATGTTGCCAATTGTGCCTTAGTGACAGTAATGGGGCATCATGTTTTCTTTTCTGGGGAGCCACTTTTTCTCTAATTTGTGCTACAGATGAAAATTATAGTTGTTCTGAACCTCCAGTTAGGTTGGCCTGAGAAATTTGTGTCATTAGGCATCTCTTTTGGATTCACCTAATTCAGTGCATTTGTAATGTTGGAGAATTCAATTGTTGTTCTTGGAAAAGTGATGCATCGCCTTTTTAAAATGAATAAACCTTGGAAAAGCATTTGATTTAGCATTAATAGAAAAGTTGGCCATCACTTTTTGCATCAGTTCAGTTGCATGCTACATCAAAATAAGAGACAAGGCAAAGTTTTCTGCATGTTTCTGTTGCTTTATTTGTTTGTGTTATTTATATTTTAATTGATTTTTTGTCGCTTCAATCGATAGCTCGAGCTTCCTGAGTGGATAGACATTGTGAAGACTGGAAGGTTCAAGGAGCTTGCTCCTTATGACCCGGATTGGTACTACATCAGAGCTGGTAATGGCATACTATTTGTAACTGGTTTCTTGAATTCAGGATGACCTCTTACAAGTCTTTTAAAGCCCTTAATTGTAAATTCAAATAATTGGCAGCTTCTATGGCGAGGAAAATTTACCTGAGGCAGGGCATTGGAGTAGGAGGCTTTCAGAAGATCTATGGAGGTCGCAAGAGGAATGGTAGCCGCCCACCACATTTCTGCAAGAGCAGTGGGGCAATTGCTCGGCATATCTTGCAACAATTACAAAACGTGAATATCATTGAAATTGACCCCAAAGGGTAAGCATCAATTGCATTTTGTTATTAACCTTCTGCTTAGGTTGCTCTTTTATTGGACTATTTACTTCCCATGGTTTATGACATATTGGAAAACCGTTTTCTATCTATGTGACATACCTGATGGTGATATGGCATGTGTTGGAAGTTGAGAAACATCTGTTGAAATCTCGTAAGGTGATCATGTGTTTGGAAGGAAATGACTCAGAGGTTATAAAAACAAGTATTGCTATATAATCCTAATAAACTAGAATACCATAAGTGCATTTTAATATGGGTGAATTCTCGAAAAAAGCCCCTAAGTTTGAGAATTTCTCGGATAGTGCCCCAAGTTTGAAAAATTCTCGCTGGGCACCCCTTTTCTTCAAAATGACCATTCTGTCCTTGTCGGCCATCACCCTCCGCCTAGTCCTTGGTCGTGCCTTTGCTTCGCCGGTCGTCCCCCTCCACAGGGCCAGCAACCCCCCTTCGTCGAACCTGCCCAATGATGGAAGGCGTAGCAGCCCTTGTTGGACCTGCGATAGAGGTGCAACCACCGCAGCCCCTCTGCGGCCAGCGATGGAGACTGCAAGCGCGGTCAACGGCAAGGAGGGGGCACGAGGAGACCGTGACGGCAAGGAGGCTTTGCTGCCCCTCCACAATTAGCGACGAAGGTGTGACAGCGGGCCCTCGCGCAAGGGCTGCAGGTGGAGGGGGGCAGCCAGGATTGTTGGCGGCAACAGCGGGCCCTCACACGTGGGTTGCTGGCGATTGCGGCGGGCCCTTGTGCGAGGGTTGTAGGTGGTAGTGCAGGGTAGAGGTGGCGGTGGCAGCGGGTCTGGGAAGAAAGTATTTTTTTTTAATTTGCTAGGGGTAAGATGGCCTTTTCATGCAATCAGGGATGCATTGCGGGAGTTTTTCAAACTTGGGATGTTATCTGGGAAATTCTCAAACATATGGGCTTTTTTCGAGAATTCACCCTTCTAATATTACAGAATTTGTACCCTACTCTATACATCATATCTATGCTTACTTGTCAATATCTCTCTATACAACATGTCTTCTTACATCATGTTTGTTAAATGTTTCAGTGGGAGGAGGATTACTTCTCAGGGGCAGCGAGATCTTGACCAAGTTGCTGGATGTGTCTGGGGTACAAGCATAACTTTATCATCAGTAACGTAACTTTCTTTTTATCATTGAGTATCGGGAATCTGTTTAATTTATCAAATGTGAAATTCATTTTCTTGGCAGTTTCGACTTGATTTTGTTTCTTATATTCAACTTTGTGAGAGGCTTGAGGTTAATATAGGTTTTGTTTCAAAACTATGCTCTTTACAAGAATGTTGCTTAAAATCCTGAAGCTTTAATGACTTATGGTAAATGTAGCATCAACTTATATTCTTTTCTCGCTGATGTCTGTTTAAATTCACACCTAGCATCATGGATTAGAATTTTGCTGCATGGTGGGATATTGAGCCAACTTAGTAATATAGGACACATGATTTGATTGTGATATGTGAATTGTAGCCTTTAATAAGTGAATTTGGTGGTTTCATTTTACAGCATATATGATGTTGTGAAGTGAGACAATATCAAGGTGAAGAACTTGGGTAGGAAGGATCAAAATAAAAGTAGCATAAGGGAGAAATGATGATTTCAAGAAGAGCAATTTGGGGGGGTTACAATTTATTACAATCATTTAGTTGCGATGCTCAGTGTTATCTGCTGTCTAAACCTCTTTGGATGACCAAAATAATGCTAAGTATATTATTGAATCTCATGCAAGTCGAAACCTCTTTGGATGACCAAAATTTCCACCACCCTAGATTTCTTGTATTCATTGAAAATCTCTGTAATGACATTTTGAAGGAAGCCAATCACAGTTGATTACCTTGCTTGGATTTTGGATTCGCTCGAAGTTTCTGCTTATGAGAATTATTTCGTCATTTTTTCTTGGTCCTTGATCAACTATGTTATGTTTTTGGTTGTCATCTCTGAATCGTATGAGCATATAGCCAACTCTGTAACTATCATGATCAATCATTTGGACGCGGACTATGATCAATGTGAGTAGTAGTGAAGATTTTGCTGTTGGAAAAAGCTCGTCGGCAGCCATAAAATAGAAGTCATACATAACACAATATTATTGCCTGAGACACTCATCGTCAACATCAATGCCTGCTGTTTGTTTCCTCCATTTTTTTGTCTTAGAATGAAAGTGACCAAAATGCTTTATAAATGGAACTGCATTACTCCTGACATAACCCATTCACCAGACTTGCTGGGTCTTATCGAATCCCAATCAAACACCTAATTGTAAGGCATACTCCAAGTGTGGTAGGTTGCGACACCCTGGAATTTAGTAGGCGAGTGACCCCCACCACATGGACTCTAAATCAATGGAGGGGTGGTCTCTTGCAAGTCAGCCAATTCAGCTGCAACTTGCAGCAAGCGGCTGAGTACTGTTACCAGGCTGTCACCGCTTGTTTGGCCGTGGCTGCCAACGGTGACTGCAGCATTATTTTTCATGTCGCTCCATGTACGGTCGTTGATCTTAGTACGAGTACAAAGTTTGATTGCACATGGCCATGGGATTCGGTGGTGCATTTCTTTTTAGTCCCATTCGGTGGTCGCAAACGTGCACTACATTTTTTGGGGGGATCGTCAACACTTCAAACACTGTGACAAGTGCAGCTACTGCTTATCTGCTTTTATATAAAGAACACCTACCTATGATGTCATTTTTTTTTCGGATTTAAAAATATTTATTTATTTTTCATATCAAATGTTTAGGCATATAATCCTCTCAAGTTCGATAATCAATGATAATATCTGTGCTAAAAAAATGAATTAGATCCAAAACGACAATTGAATCCGACATAATCGACTTTCAAATATATTTTAATAACATAATTTTTTTTATAATATTCTAATATTAATTTTAATATGTCCACACACAACTCTATAATCGTAGGAAATGCTATTTGAGTGGAGCAAGTGACTTGTCAAATTCCTACATAGTGATGCGCTTATCTTAAAACCCATATTTTCTACCCAGCCTTGTTTTGCTCAATAAACGCAAGTATATACACATGCGTGGAATAAGAATAGTCTCTCCCAGTAAAAAGCTTACCTGCCTAAGCATGGAAAGAAAGAAAGAAAGAAAAAGAAAAAGGGAAAATGACATTTTGGGATTTCTTTCCCTTTTTTTTATTTACATTTGCCCAAAATTCACACCACTGGCGTGACAGGCATTGTGAGGAAATAAAAAAAACAAAAGGATTAAGGCCCTAAATTTACTCGTTTCCAAAACCACACAGGAAAAGAAGGGAGAGGATGGCAAGAGAAGCCTCGGCGATACATCTCCCGGAACACCGTGCGCATTAGTAAAAGCCCTAAATCTCCATCCCGGCTGCCGTGCCGCAGACCAGAAACTCTAATCTCATCACAGATCGCTCTTTTAATTTGCCTGAAGAAAATAAGGTGCCTCTTTTCGTTCTCAATCTTTCCTTTTTTGTTTTCTCTTTTGATTTACTTTTCGGTTTCTTTTGTCCATCCATTGCGGTCGATTTGGTGGCAATGACCTTCCGGTCATCTTGAAATTTGGGTTTGTGAACAAGTGATACATTTGATCGCTTACATCTTACTCAAAGACCCAAGTTGTTGCTAATGTCAGGTTTGGAGTCGCTCTCTGTTCTTGAATTTGAAGTTTGGTAGCGGCAAACGTCTCTTTGTAGCGATTTCTTTTCATAATTCACCTGAATTCATAGCGATTTCTCCTGTCGAAAAGAAGGGTATCGGTCGCTTATCTTAAAAAAATTGCACCTTTGGCTGTTCTATGCCATGGGCTTTGTTGGCAGGGTTCATTTTTACTCTTACCCTCTTTTCTCTCTGTTAATATTTATTTCCAAGTTGCAGTTTCCATGGTTTTTAGTATTATTTTTCCTGTCAATGATTTCTCCAATTTTTTTGTGTGTGTGTGAATCAAGTGTTGTAGTTGGACAAGGTCTCTGTTGTACACTTGGAATGTGTCTGTTGGTTGGTGTGTGTCACAGAAATAGTTGTCTTTTTAGGAACAGGTACACTGTTTGGATTTTGTATTTGACTGTGAATTGTAAAAGGATAAATTAGGATGTTTGATCTGTATCCAGACGGACATTTGCCTTTGTGAAAGCTTTGAATTTGATGTTTGATGCTATTTGATTTCTGTCTGCAGTTCTTGTTGATTTTGTGTGCATATATTACCATCTTATACTTGATGAATTGTTTGGCTGTAGAACAGGACAATAATATGGCATTGCAGTGTGTGTTTATGGTAGATATGGATTAGAATCATATGTTTATTGATTTCCTTTGCTTCTGAATGCTACTGCTTGTTGGAATGCGTGGCTAAATACCTAACCCTTTCCCATTCAAGTTTGGTGGACTGTGATGGATGCTCAAAAGCGTGTTGAACTGTCTTCCTATGCTGGTAAAACGTAAGGCTTTTCATGGTTAGTTTTTGGAAAGCGAGAGAGTAGATCTCGATGAGACTCTGTGTATTTAAGGAGGGGAGTCACCTCCTCCTTTCGTCACCACAAGTCATTTCTTTCTCTTCTTCCCTCTGGTAGCACCTTTCTCTCTTTCTCCTTCCATTCTCTTCTCTGTACCCCCTTGTTGGAGCCAGAGCCAGAGCCAGAGCCAGAGCCTTTTGGGAAGGTGATTTCGTTAGCTAATTTCTGCAATTTGGTTTTATGATCTGAAGTTGCCAATTTCACGTACTCAAGGGATTTGTTCCTTTTCCTTGGACTGTTCTTTGAACTGTCTGCTGGCTATGTTGATTTATGGTAGATGCATCTTCTTTTGTTTTCATTTTCTTCTTCAAACTGTTACCTTTAACATCACAAGATCTCTTGCAAAACGAGACGGATTCAAGTTTTGCTAATGCGGATATGCTGGATCTGTTTTCAAGTTCTGTTCTTGCCACCGGTTTCATTTACTGATTGAAGCTTGTTGACTTGTTCTGTATTTGACTTATGGAGATGGGAATTCTCTGCTTATTTCCATTGCTGATTCCTTGTGATCTTTTCTGCAATCAGAGCTGTGTTCATGGCCAGCCACATCTTATGGATCGAAATCCCATTTTGGAGATTTTTTGTTAGTTCCTCCCACACAAGTTTCTGAGCATTTTTTCTGAAATCATTCTTTCCAGGCTCTCGAGATCACAAACATGGTGAAGATATGCTGCATCGGAGCTGGCTATGTAGGTGGCCCGACCATGGCCGTGATCGCCCTCAAGTGCCCCTCGATCGAGGTGGTGGTCGTCGACATCTCCGCCAGCCGGATCGCTGCATGGAACAGCGATCAACTCCCCATCTACGAGCCAGGCCTTGACGACGTCGTCAAGCAGTGCCGAGGGAAGAACCTTTTCTTCAGCACCAACGTCGAAGTGCACGTCGCTGAGGCTGACATCATCTTCGTCTCCGTGAACACCCCCACCAAAACCCGCGGCCTCGGAGCGGGCAAGGCCGCCGACCTGACCTACTGGGAGAGTGCGGCCCGCATGATCGCGGACGTCTCCCGGTCCGACAAGATCGTGGTCGAGAAGTCCACGGTCCCGGTCAAGACAGCGGAGGCCATCGAGAAGATCTTGACCCACAACAGCAAGGGAGTCAACTACCAGATCCTGTCGAACCCGGAGTTCCTCGCGGAGGGCACGGCGATCCAGGATCTGTTCACGCCCGACCGAGTCCTCATCGGTGGTCGGGAGACCCCGGAGGGCAGCCGGGCTGTGCAAACGCTGAAGGATGTCTACGCCCACTGGGTACCCGAGGATCGCATTCTGACGACCAACTTGTGGTCCGCGGAGCTATCCAAGCTCGCCGCCAACGCCTTCTTGGCGCAGAGGATCTCCTCGGTCAACGCCATCTCCGCGCTCTGCGAGGCCACCGGCGCTAACGTCTCCGAGGTGGCCTTCGCCGTGGGGAAGGACTCCAGGATCGGGCCCAAGTTCTTGAACGCCAGCGTCGGATTCGGAGGGTCCTGCTTCCAGAAAGACATCCTCAACCTGGTCTACATCTGCGAGTGCAACGGGCTGCCGGAGGTGGCCAACTACTGGAGGCAAGTCATCAAGATCAACGACTACCAGAAGAGCCGCTTCGTGAACCGGGTCGTCTCCTCCATGTTCAACACCGTGTCGGGGAAGAAGATCGCGGTTCTCGGGTTCGCCTTCAAGAAGGACACGGGGGACACACGGGAGACGCCCGCCATCGACGTCTGCAAGGGTCTGCTGGGGGACAAGGCCAGCATCAGCATCTACGACCCGCAGGTGACGGAGGAGCAGATCCGGCGTGACCTCGCCATGAACAAGTTCGACTGGGATCACCCTGCGCACCTGCAGCCGACGAGCCCGGCCGCCGTGAAGCAGGTGAGCGTGACGTGGGACGCGTACGCGGCCGCCAAGGGGGCGCACGGCGTCTGCATCTTGACGGAGTGGGACGAGTTCAGGGAGCTGGACTACCAGAGGATCTACGACAACATGCAGAAGCCGGCCTTCGTGTTCGACGGCCGCAATGTGGTGGACGCAGAGAAGCTCAGGGCAATCGGCTTCATCGTCTACTCCATCGGAAAGCCTCTGGATTCATGGCTCAAGGACATGCCCGCTATTGCCTGACACAAACAAAGGAAGAGAGGGAATCACAAGAGCGTCAAATTGTCAAACGGATGATTCTTCATAGTTACTGCTTCTCTAATGTTTTCTTCACCCAATAATTTATTTGTTCTGGAGTTATAGTCAATTAGGCTGCTTGTATTTTTGGGTCAACGTCGTGTTTCTTTGCAACGTCATTAAGTCAATCTAATTGTACGCATGTCTGTGTCAGTACGACGAAGGGTTCGAAGCTGATGGGTTTCGCACTGTTACGATCCTTGTTTTGCAGATGCTATCGGCATTCTTGCTTTAAATTGCGTGCAAGATATCTAAAGTTGGTTGAAAAAAATATATGTCCTTATATGAAAAGTTAATTTTTTAAAAAACGTTTTTAAGTTTATCATCGGAAGGTGTTTCCGACTGAGGCAAATGACAAGAATGCATTTTGCTTCAACACTCCAATTATTAGTAAGAATAATGTGATCGAAATGTCGATTCATTAGCTCCATCTCGATTCCGTTGATACGAAAAAGTCATCTAATCGACATGACGAGGGGATGTGGTTGACAAGCCGACTTGGTCGAAATGTCAATATCATGCACTCGGCATGTTAGCTCCATCTAGATGCCTCTACTTCATAGGCTGATACGAAAAAACCATCTAATCGACATGGCGAGGGGATGTGGTTGACAAGTTGACTTGGTCGAAATATCAACATCATGCACTTGGCACGTTAGCTCCATCTCGATGCCTCTACTTCACGAGGCTGATACGAAGAAGTCATCTAATCGACATGGCGAGGAGATGTGGTTGACAAACCAACTTGGTCGAAATGTCAATATCATGCACTCGGCACGTTAGCTCCATCTCGATGCCTCTACTTCACGAGGCTGATACGAAGAAGCCATCTAATCGACATGGCGAGGGGATGTGGTTGACAAGCCGACTTGGTCGAAATGTCAATATCATACACTCGGCATGTTAGCTCCATCTCGATGCCTCTACTTCACGAGACTGATACAAAGAAGCCATCTAATCGACATGGCGAGGGGATGTGGTTGACAATCCGACTTGGTCGAAATGTTAATATCATACACTCAACACGTTAGCTCCATCTCGATGCCTCTACTTCACGAGGCTGATACGAAGAAGTCATCTAATCAACATGGTGAGAGGATGTGATTGACAAACCGATCCCACATGTCGATATGATGAACCCACGTAGAGGATACATCAACACATCATGGTTGATCGATTAACCGCCATGTGGTTCACATAGCGGAGTCATGTGATCGACACCTCAACTGTATATGATCAACTTGACATGGCCTCGCGTTCCACCCCTAAGTGCCACCTCAACATTGCACGGATGTCAAGTAGAGTGGACCCAGTTGGCCATGCCTGATCGATAACATGTGCCGGAAGCTTATGCTATCTCGGGTTCGACATAAGCAAGTGACAATTACGAGCAAATTTCACGCACCTATAATCGTACGATCCACACAATAGATGATTGTGATGGCTCCGAACACCCACTATAGAAGGAGGAGGGCTCAACTAGTCAACTGGCTTAAGCATGGAATGGAAGAGGCATCGTCAAAGTTTTATAGGATTTAGATGACTCTCAAAAGAGTTCATCTTGAGATCGACTTAAAAAGGAAACAAGATTGGATCCGAATTAGCTTCCAACTTGGTTAATCAAAAACTTCTCTAACAGTTTGGCACTATAAGAGGGTTTACCATGATGTCTCAAGCGAACTTTGCAGCTGTCTCGGTCGAATCCCAATGCCCTAAACCGAAATGGGTCAAAGGTTACTCGAGGTGTTCCGATTCCATCTCCAAATCCGCTTTTAACTAGCCACTTCCATCCTAGCAACCAGCACGAATAACCATTCCTTCTGAGACCATGCACACTCTAGTTTAAATAAGTGCAGGATTTAACAACCAGAATCATCCATACCATATCTTCCCCCACTCAACCCAGCTAACCTAACATGCAACACTTGCCCCCCGTTCACTCCACTGTTCTGAGCTCCAATTTCGTCACCCATTCTAATTTCAAGTTTCGCAGTTGAGTCTCGCCTAGCTCAAATGCCACCATAAGTACGTTCGCCTCCATTAGCCCAAAATCCAATCCCCCACTAAAACCGAATGTCCTAAATGAATCGATCGCGTAAGGTTCATGATCACCTTGATAAGATGGCTCGGAGACTCGAAGATATTTGGAGGGAGATTAAACATGGGAAATAACCAGAGGTGGAGTTGCACATATGATCCCTCTTTATGAAGAATATAAATAATGAACCGATTCCTCAAGGTTTTCGATTACCCATTCTAGACTTATATGATGGAAAATCCAACCCCTCGAAGCACATTATCTTGTTCAACTCCTAAATGATGCTCTCTAAGACCACAAATTTTCTCATGTGTCAAACCTCCTTTCCCATGATGCTAAGAGGCATGACCTGTGAGTGGTTCACTAGGCTCCCTCTTGACTCGATCTCATCCTTCAATTAGTTGGTGAAAGAGTTTAAACTCAACTTTGTCACCACAAACTCCTAAAGAAGCCTATCACTTTCCTTCTTACCCTACAACAAGGAGTCATTCGAGAGCTACACAAGAAGATTTAATAAGAAAGTTTGATTGGTCACTGACCCAACTCCCTCGTCCTCATCAATGCACCATCGGTAAAAAGGAATATGTCAAAGTATCATCGTTTTCATCAAGACCATGGGTCGAAGCCAAACCCTTGACATTAATTATGGAGAACTAGGTTGAAAGATTCATTTAGAAAAATATTATCTCTCGATTTGGAGATTTGTATACTTTTATAACTCACAATAGAACATAATTTAACAATATCGAGTTTAAGGAGTTTTACCACTTTTAAAATCCATTTGAAGTTCACGTTGGTGGTGCGGCTAACAAGCAAAAGTCACCAATTAGGTCATACTAGAATGATTAAAGAAAAGGGTTTATAAAGCTAAGGGTGCATAAGTATATGAGCTCCCGAGTATTTTATAGAATTATTGGACTATACCAAAGTTCTCTATTGGAGAATCGCCTTTTCGTCTAACATATGGAACGAAGATTGTGCTCCCGACCGAGTTAATATTATCAACCATCTTAACCTAACACTTCTCTAAGGAGGGGTTGGATAACAAGTTAAGAGCAAAGTTAGGATCTAACTGATAAAGTCAGAGCACAAGCCTATCTTAGAAACTTAGTTTACAAAAGATCGATAACCAATACTCTTCAATGATCAAGTTCAACCATGTTAGTTAATGGCGACAGACTTGATTTTGAGGTGAGCCAAAGTCAACGATCTGACTCATACCAAGAGTAAGTTGGCACCAACCTATAAAGGCTCATATCGAATCTCAAAAGAGGTTGGATCAAGAACTTATCGACTCCAGACTCTGGGAAGGTCGGAGATCCCTGGAACATGGCATATATCACATATGAAGAAGTACTATCTTTAATTTTACAAGATTTTATAACAATTGCAGTGCAAAGTTTGTAAAGACACTTTAATTAGAAAAAAAAAGGATAATTTCATATGTAAAAGAGTCTTTACATTATTTTTGAGAATTCTTACATTCCAAAACAAACCTCCCGATTATAAAAAAAAAAGAGATAAATTAGATAAATCAACTTGACTACTCCTCTAGTATTTGTACAATGTCATCTTCGGGGGTTTGATTTAAAACTAGAGTCATAGCCAATGAGGTTGGGATTCTTGATTATCGGTGCCTTGACATATGAGGTGGCAGCATTTGGCTTGTTAAGTAGGGCACCTCCCGTTGGGTCCTCCGTCGTCGATGAATCTTCAGCCTCATCACTAACCTCAACCTCTCTATCTTTTGCATAGACTGTTATCTTGCTTCGATTATCTATGCCATCAACTTTGACCATTATAATCTTGCTATCAGTGGGATACCCAACAATGGAGTCCTCGGGAAGTGCAATATTAAGATGGTCATACTTAACCTGAGAGATAATTAGTTAGTCTCCAAAGAAGTTAAGCCCCAACCACATCAACCCCATTTTTGAACCCCCAAAAGGCCTTGTATTGACCACCCATTGGGTTTCTACCTCTGACTCATGTGCTTCAGCCTCCTCCAACTACCGAATCTGCTCTTCTATGGTGTCTCAGAGATTATCAACCTCTATCTTCAGTATCGACCTCTCCTAGCTAAGACAATTAAAGATTGTACGAATGTTCCCCTCCTCCATCAACTATCGCATCATCAACTCGTAGCAATAGAAGCTTTGCTAGATCGAAATCCTAAGCACTAATAAGGTTGGCACGCCATTGCAAGTTGTCGATGGCCTCGCCCCCAAATCATCCAAGAGATGAGAGGTGGGTTGGTGGGATGATTGTTGTTACTATTGGTGCCACTATTGGGAAGTCTCGAGCTTATATGGCTCGTCTGGTTGAGGCTCCCAACGAGACTCCCCACACCTATCCCTTGAGCATGAAGATTTGGATCTCCTAGGAGGCCTCACCACTGAAGGAGCATCTTCCTATGCCTCCACTGGCTTGGAGGCAGTGGCAATGGAGGGGAGCTAGAGGATGATTTTGCCTGACTTGGGTGCTAAATAAACTCCTATAATAGATTAGTAGTATTCTCTACCAACCTCCTCCTCCCTGCATGCTCAGGCTGACTCAAGATTGGAGATGACCTATTTCATCCTCGCACCTCGGCGATAAGCATTCATCTCAAGAATATTTTCATGAAAGTCCATACTTACAAAAAGAGATTAAAGTTCAGACATCCCAAACATGCCCTCGAAAAATGAACCCTAATATCTTACCCTGAGGAGTAAGGCTAAGTCTTACGTTAATGAGTCACTACTTGCTCATCTGAAGGATGGTAGTGGACTCGGACAAGGATATAGCGAATCATTAAATTTTCTCTTTTTTTTAATCCATAAAACCTCAGGGTGGCATTAAAATTTTTTTGAATGAACTAATCTAAGTTGATCGGCTACTCATTCCTCGCAGAAACACAAAAAAAAAAATTTTTTCTTCCAACCCTTCCAAGAGTTTAGTGCCCCATTTACCTAGTATCCGGGTCAGGTAAAAAGAAAGCACGTCAACCTCTTAAAGCATAGAATATAGCAAGCCAATAGGAGGGTTAATGTTAGGGGGATGTGGAGCCTTCGACACTGCTCGACAAACACCACAAGAAAGCTCCACAGATTTGGCACCATCTAAGTAGGTGAGAACTTTCAAAAATTGAAAGTCTCAATAAAAAAAGAGTGGAAGTGAAAATAACGCCTCATCTCCAATACATCTATGCATGTATAAAACAGATAATGTGATACATAAGGTCGATCATCCGATCGAGAAAACAGCAACTCGAACACTATTGATATGTGATGGATCGTCTAAAACACCTTTAAGTCAAAGACGAATGCTATGAAGTCCAAGTTAGAGGAATATGCCATATTGGTGGAGCCACACCACTAGGTGGATTCGCCGCCGAAGGGATAACCTCTATCTTAGTATGATCGACTCGACTCCCTCTAAGGATAAAACTCTTATCATTACATCTAGGGTGGTAATGGAATCGATAACCTATCAAACTCTAAGGTGCCGAAGGTCTAAGGAGGATGACATCACGGATCTTTAGTTGTTGAGTGGTCGAAGTTGAAGTCGTTGTAGGAAGATGTCTGAGTTGCAAGCAGGTGCAAGGAGCAGAAAAGTGTTGCCACTACCCTTTCCTTTGGCCCATTAACCATTTCCGACCCTCGCCAAACACTACCCTGGACAATGTGATTCTCATCAATCGTAGGAACCAAAACACTACTTCCCAACCTGATTCGAGTGAGAGACCTGATCGGATCCGACCTCGTTTCTCGATCTCTCGAATTAATGGGTCGGATCTTTTAAGCTCCCGCACCGATCCGACTCTTATCTATCTTGTGTTTACGACAACATACGCTACCCAAACTAGTCGCTTCAAGGTGACTCGTTATACGTAGGAAAATAATTAAACAGTGTAATAACCAGATTCGCGAAGACGTCAACCCCAACCCGAGCCCTGGACGAACCTCCAAACCCTAACTCGCGAGCGGCAGTCGCATCGGCATCGGCATCTTACCATCCCTTTCACCCCCTCGGCGCCTGGATCTCTTTGGGATTCGGATCCTCCTCTTTCAGGTCCCTCCGGTTCGCGTTCCTTTTTTTCTTCGTTTTTCTTTTGGGATTATTTTGTATTTCTTGCGGTTTACGCGGTGATAAGTAAAATGATCGAAACCTTCTAGGAGGTGGAGTCTTGAATCCTTTAGTTGACTAGGTTCCTCCATGAGCCTAAAATTTACAACTATTTTTCATTTGTTGTTATTCCGTGATGTTTTGATCGATTGGTTTCGTTCTCTCGCCCGTCGCCACCGAATCTGTTGATTTAGCGCTGCTAAATTTTCATTTTTTTGGCATCTTTGTTGATGATTCAATGAAATTTGTTCCAGTTTATCCTTACACTTCATGAAATGTTCCAATTCTGTCTTCTTCTTTGCGGTGATCACAGGCCAATAAAGGGTTTTTTGGCAGCCAGCTGTCATGGCTACTCGTAAGTACCAAAATCCGCTGCTCCACTAAATAGTTATATTATCTTTTTCTTTTTTTCAAAGATTTCTGTAGTTAATGAAAACGAAGAACTAGTGTGCTAATGTAAACTAAGATACTAATGAAGGTAAATAATTTGGCATATTACAAAAAATTGACAAATCCGCTTAGCTGTGTGATTTCTTTAAATCCTTATTATTCTTTTTTCTTCATTGTAATTCTCTTTATGAAAATATATAAACAATTAATGAAATTGAAATATTGTGTCCCATTCATGTAGCTACTGGGTAGACAATTGAAACTCTAAAATTGTTCTACAATTCTATTTTTCTTCCATTATTGAAAGATCCTTAGATGGTGAACTGGGTGGACAAGCAGTACTCACCTTTTCATGTAGCTACTTGAAGATAACAACTCCATGCTTTTCTAAATATGCTATATGATGCTTGCGTTATGTTGTTAAACGGTCTAACTCTTAAAAGATCCCCTATGAGATCGTCATCTAACTTTTTACAGGTATTCAATTTGAGAACTCTTGTGAAGTTGGGGTTTTCTCAAAGCTGACCAATGCCTATTGTTTGGTTGCGATTGGAGGATCAGAAAACTTCTACAGGTTTCAACACTTCCATTCTTTCTATTGCAATAGTTCCTGTATCTGTCGCTGATGATCTAGATTGGATGACATGCAGCATGTTTGAAGCCGAGTTGGCTGATGTTATCCCTGTGGTGAAGACCTCTATAGCAGGCACTAGAATAATTGGGCGACTTTGTGCTGGTAAGTGCTAAGTTTATCCAAAGTTTATATGATGACTACATATTTCTCACGCATTATCCCACTTCAATGTAGGAAATAAAAATGGGCTTCTCTTGCCTCACACCACGACGGACCAAGGTAAGAATTCATTGTAGAAGATTTTGCAATATAAATTAATCATAAGTGATGTTGAATTTTGGTAGCTATTTGCCCTAGTAGTTTTAAGTACGTGGACCCTGCACATTCAAGTCTAGCCATTTAAAAGACAGAGAAAAACATCATCAAGGTGGTGTGAGTTGTTTCCTTTAGAAACCCTGATTGGAAAGAAAACACTGATTGGAGATGAAGCCATTGGGTTTGCACAAGGCTTGCTACCTAGCCTATAAGGTAGGTCCATAGTTATTGTTTGTACGTGCATTAAGAAATAACATGAGGTGATCTTTATAAAATGGTGGTTTGATCCATTTTATCACTGTCACATAATAGCATGATCGGTCTAATACTGGAACGATGGAGAAGGGATGGAGCCGTCTTTGAGACTGGAACTATTCTATTGCATGGAATTGTATTATCTTAACTGAAATTTATACTGGTGTCTTTGAAATCTTACAAGGAAAGTAGATCCATAACAGCCTCCCATGTTTGAGAAAGATAATTATTACTATGTGGCACAACCTTGAAATCTATCCTGTTCGCCAAGGATGTAGCGAAAGCCTACTCGACCCTGTCGTAGCCTTCTCGATTGTTAACAAGACTCAATATTGAGCAAATTCAACTTTCTTCTACTTGTGACAGCTTGTTCCACCATTTTGATGCAAAATCCACCACAGGAGTCCAGTCCATATTGGCTTGAGTCATGGCCAGCCTCATCATCTCTCAGTAAAAACTGTTCTACATAGTTTTGAAGAAGGAATTTAGACTTATCTAAATATGCAAGAAAGTGGCCATTAACTTTACCCCCACAATTTTATATATGTGTGTGAATTGTTAAATCTTACGACCATGATTGGATATTGTTCCATTTTTATGCAATAAATTTATCACAAACAATAGTTAACATATCTAGTTTTTAGCTTTTGAGATCATCAATATGTGCAGTCTTATTTTGGCAATCAAAGATTATGTTTACATGACTTGAATCAGCAGTATAGGCTTTGGATTTTGGCAACATTGTAACATCTTTTGGCTCATTTAAGATGTTTATCTGATCTAAAACATTGTGTTGATGTTGGTTATGAAATGTAGTTCTGTAGTCAAAACAATGATGTACCATCTAATGTTTAAATAAATCATATGACTCTGGATATTTTTAATTTGAATTTTTCTAGGATTGTGTATCTTTAAGTCCTTCTATTCAGCTGCAGTAGTAACTTCATATCCATCAAAGGATCTTTTTTTGCTTATCTTTTGACTTTGAAAAAATCTGTTGACTTAAGTGAATTTTAGGTGATCCTTTCATGTATCTAACTAAGGAAATATCAAGTCCAAAAAAGAATTCTCTTTTCCTTTTTCTTTTACATGTCAAAGAAGAGGTTGGACTGCCAATTATGAGTGCATAATTGGTGATTGAACCGGCAGAGCTGGATAAGTTTTTGCAGCAATAGTTGGTGATTGGACTACCCATTAGCTGTTCACAGATCAAAATCAACAATTTTTGCTGAGGTAAAAAAGTCGAGGCTATTTGACTGACAATTTGGATCCCTATTCTCAATGAGTATATTTACATGGTTGTGTAGGATTAGTAGACAGTGAAGAATAATTTGTTAAATAATCTTCTTTCAGGAATCATATTTAGTTTAGGGGAGGTTTAGACAGACTGCCTTTCTTAGAAAAACCATTTTCTTCTCATATGATTTCTATAATCAGGAAAACAAATTATCTGGGGGCTTTTTAAATGAAAGAAGGTAGAGAATTTTATCTAAATATTTAATATGATTTCTTTTTTTTTTAATTATGTTATCCTCCAAAGTCACTCATGTAACCAAAGGGGACTATTCTAATTGATTTTTGTTTAATTGTTTTTTCAGAGCTCCAACATCTGAGGAATAGTCTACCTGATCAAGTGGTTGTTCAAAGAATAGAGGAAAGACTATCTGCTTTAGGCAATTGCATAGCTTGCAACGATCATGTTGCTCTCACACACCCTGATCTAGACAGGGTAAGCTATTTTCGTATTTACAATTTGCAAGGGGATGGTATCCACAGATATGAAACATGACATGCAACTAGTTTTGCCTAGAAAAGAGAAATCAAATCCTGACATGACTTCCATTTTCACCCTATATGGTTCAGTTGACATGTTGCTTTTCTAATCCCTAGTTACCTTTTTTACTGTGCCTTAAATCTTGTATCGCAGCTAATTCATTTTTTTTCCCTCGATGTACTCCATGATCGGATAGGTTACATCATTATATGGTCTTTTATTTCAGGAAACTGAAGAGCTCATCGCCGATGTACTTGGAGTAGAAGTATTCAGGCAGACAATTGCTGGGAATATACTGGTTGGCAGTTATTGTGCAATTTCGAACAGAGGGGGTCTGGTAAGTTAGTGTGGCTTCCACTGAAACACGAGGCAGACAAGTATTGTTATTGATATCATCTTCTTATGTTGGATTTCCTAACAGGTTCACCCGCATACATCCATTGAAGACCTCGACGAGCTCTCCACTCTTCTCCAAGTCCCACTCGTTGCCGGAACAGTGAACCGAGGCAGTGAGGTAATTGCTTCTGGTATGACTGTGAACGACTGGACAGCCTTCTGTGGATCCGACACCACTGCAACTGAGCTCTCTGTCATTGAGAGCGTTTTCAAACTAAGAGAAGCCCGGCCAAGCTCTATCGTTGATGAGATGAGGAAGTCACTCATCGACAGTTATGTTTAGGATTCTGAGATTATATTTCTTCCAAAGTAACTGCTTGTATTTATATAACTAGATGTGCGTTACCAATGTGCTGACATTCTCTCAACTACAGCTTTCATTGAACTCTTTCACATTATTTTCTCACCTTGCTCGATAATTCCTGTTATGGTTCATTCAACTCATCCTTTCATTTCTTACACTTGTTACCCGTAACAAGCGACAAGCAAGCGAGTGGGGTCTTTAACAGAAAAGCAAATCCCAAAGCGGGATAAGTGTCGATACTGGATTCGATTGAGGGTCGTCAATTGTATCCATCTGGGATTACCCGACGGGCCCACCCGCCTTGGGATTTGGAAGCAGAGAATGGGTCGCATTCGGATGGGTATCGATGTTTTGCGTATCGGTAGAATTGAATTGCCTAAAGGTCGCAAGCGTCCGATGTCAACACAGATGGTACGCAAAACAATGCTTGTACGTATCAGACCGTCCACGTGTCGTACTCGATCGCACGGCCATCGTTACTCGGACGCCACAACGTTGGAGTTATTTATTAAAAGAAACCCTAGCCCGCGGCGGATTCCGGCGTTCTTCTTCTTGCTCCCCGTTTCCATTCGCTGTTACATTTCTCGCTCCGCCTCCGTTAACCACGAGCAGGTACGAAACCCTTGTTACCATCTGCCGGTTCGATTCTTTTTCCCCCTCTATCGATCATTCTTGTTGCCTTCTTGGATCGTGATCTGTTTATTGTTTCTTCGATTCTTTGAATCAGCGATCATGTCGGATGAAGAGCATCATTTCGAGTCCAAGGCCGACGCTGGAGCGTCCAAGACCTACCCGCAACAGGCTGGGACGATCCGGAAGAATGGGTACATCGTGATCAAGGGGAGACCATGCAAGGTCTCTTGTTCATTCCGTCGTTTGAATCAATTGCTATTTCTGTCATATCTTGATTTCTGGATTTGTTAATTCTTTGCATGGAATATGTGTTTCTCCGTTAAACTTTTGGGTCTGTTTATCCGTTAATTGGTGTGCGGTTTTCCGCGATTGTTTGCAATGAGATATTGTATAACGTCTTCTGGTTTTCTTTTACTTATATGCTTTCATTACCTCCATCTACATTAGGTTGTGATGGTTCCAATATGGGTTTCTTGGTTAATTACGGTTTTGATAGTGTTGATGGATCTGATTCATTTCTGTTAGTCTTGTGTGACCATCGATTAAAACTAGTAGATGTGTATTGACGAAGATTTGATATATGGATGTCAGGAATCTGGATGAAGATATGCAATTTTGTTATATGATCTGGTCTCTTAATTCATATGATCTGTTTGTATTTTACTACAATTCCAAATGCTATCTGCAGGAAGTGAAAAACAAGGACATCTTTTTCATGGACATAGGGAATAAACTGAACTCATGTAATGCACCTTATTCCATGATTTTTGGGATTGTTCCACTGTAAAGACAATCTTTGTAGCAATCTAGAATGCGTTTAATGTATGTGTTTGTGGTTCTATAATTCCATGCCCTTTTTGTTATTATGATTGTAACAGCATATTCTCTCTTTCAATTTTTAGGTTGTTGAAGTTTCAACCTCCAAGACTGGGAAGCATGGCCACGCAAAATGTCACTTTGTTGCCATAGACATCTTTAATGCAAAAAAACTTGAGGATATCGTGCCATCCTCCCACAACTGTGATGTTTGTCCTAAAACATATCATATTGAAATTTTTTTTTGATTCGGTAGTTTTTTAAAAAATTTTAATTTGTTTGGTTTGTCTGCAGGTTCCTCATGTTACTCGCACTGATTATCAACTGATCGACATATCTGAAGATGGTTTTGTATGTTCTATCTTCGTTTATATGTCATGTTTCTCCAATTTGATTGATGGGTTTTGTAATTAATATTTGGTCGCACATGGTAGGTGAGTCTTTTGACTGAGAGTGGCAACACCAAAGATGATCTGAAACTCCCAACTGATGAAAATTTGCTCGCTCAGGTTTGTCATGAGGATTGATATTTCCAATTCATTTACTTCTAAGAAACCTGAAGAAAGTTACGCAAAATGAAATTAACTTACAACATCCAGATACTTAGTAATTTATGCTGTGCATAAATTGCACTGATGTTTCAGAGAGACTGAACGTAGTTAGACGAAGATGTACTACATGATTTGCAACTGGATCGTATTGTACTCTAGAGGCAATTATGTGAAATTGGGAACATTAGATTTGATGTTATTTGTTATGTTATTTGTGTGTATCATATGACATGCTGAAAAACATGCTTAATGATGCAACAAATATCACGAGTAAAAATCTGACATGTAGAGTGAGTCTAACTAGGATTTTCCAGTGCATGAGGCTCCTGCTGATGTGTAGCTTATGAGTTTCTCCTACTCATCCTTCTGTGTGGTATCATGGACTAGTTAGAAAAGAGTTCTCTGAAAGGGATACTTCCCCTTAGTCTGACATTGTTTAATGTTGGGCCATCTGAATGCATTGCAGCTCAAGGATGGGTTTGCTGAGGGGAAGGATCTGGTTGTTACTGTGATGTCTGCAATGGGTGAAGAACAGATCTGTGCTCTGAAGGACATTGGCCCCAAGTAGTTTCTTGCACGCTGATTTTTATGCAAGCGACTCTGTAAGAGATGTAACGGAGATTCTTCGGTCTTGAAAGAATACTACATGGTTTGCTCTTTCTTTTACTGCCTTGCCTCTGTAGCGAAAGAGAAACTCCTGCTTTTGGTACTTCGATTGGTATTTCTGTACTTGGTTCAAAACTGTTTTCTTTAATCCAAGTCCTCTGAACCGAGCATTTGTAGAAACAATTATGTCATCACTTATTGTTTCTAATAGTTTACGTTTAGCAATCTTTTTAATCTCTCGGTTTTTCTCATTGCTTTGACTTGAGTAACAGCTACTTCTTGTGGTATTTAAAGTTATTCAATCTCTTTATCCTCGAATAGAGCGCTGCCCGAGGATCGCGCTCGTCAGTGTGAGAACTGTTTTGGCTATTGAAAGGATTCAGGATCTTTAACACAATAAAAAGTGACCGAGGACGGTTCAGGTGACAAGAGATGCACGATACTACTATGATCCTACAGGTGCATTGGTTGCATGATGCCTTGAAATTGCTCGAGCGAAGAACGAATAGAAACGTCTCCGCTGTTGAAGAGGCTGTCTATGCGCGCGATCTTGTTTGGACGTTACCTGAGTGGGAATATGGCTATAGAAATCTGAAAAACCCGTCGGTAGTCATCGTCGAGGCCAATGCGGTTGTAATCCGTCCCCTCACAAACACACGGACGTCAAGGAGTGTAAACTGCCCACTTCGCTACGATCGACGGGCTGTAGATCTCGGGTGCATCGGCGATGCCTACAACATACATAATGAAACCGGCGGCGGAGAGCAAATGGGCAGAGCTGTTCGAGGTGAGGCTAGCAACATCCGCGGCACCAGAGACGAGGAAAGCAGCGAGCATCGTCAAGGGAGTCGAAGAGATGAGTGTGGAGGAGAAGACTTTTTGGAGGCGCAGGACGTCTTGCAGCTCTGGCTAGCCACCGGCAGCGATCGGAGAGTAATATGGAGGATGAGCGTCGAAGAACACCAAGCGCAAGCGACCGTCAATTCTTCAGGGTGAACCGGTCACGCTGATTTGTGCTACTCCGATGCGACCCACTTGTGGGGTCGCTAGCTGCATCCAATCACAGTGTGGGTGGATGGTATTGTGGTCCATACGTGTACGAAGCACGGATGGTTTCTTTTCGTGTAAACAAGACCACATACCTCGCCCGCCGGACCCAAACCCGGTGGGCCGCGAGATGTCCGAGAGTGATCCATGGCGCTCTGGGTCTTGTTGTCGACCACCCTGCTTTCTTCCCTTCTATCCCTGGTACTCTTCTCCGCCGTCGCGGCCGTGATCTCGGGGCGGCGGGGGAGGCGGAGGGCAGTGTGGTTCTTCCATCCCTACACCAACGACGGCGGCGGCGGGGAGAGGGTCCTGTGGTGCGCCGTGAGGAGCGTGGAGGAGGAGAACCCCGATCTCGACTGCGCCGTCTTTACTGTTGACGATGCTTCCCCTCAGAGCCTGGCCGCCCGCGCCATCGATCGGTTCGGCGTCAAGCTCCTGCGGCCCCCTCAGGTAGCCCTTGCGCATTCTGAGGCGAGGCCTCGCCGACGTCGTTTCCGTCTTTAATTTGTGCTGAATTAAACTCAGAAATCGACCTTTGCTCTTTTCGTTTAGTCCAGCGTCTTAAATTTGCGTTAAATGTCAGGACTACCAGCTAGTTTCAGATCCATCATATCAAAATTCTTATTGGTTCTTGATCTGTGGGCACGCACTAGTGTTTTCCTGATGGAGGCCGTTCACTTTAAGGAGACATTCAAGAACCATATGTACTGATGACATATAATGAATATAGGCCTCACGATTATTTTTTGGTGCTGATGTTGGGATGTTCTATCCTTACAAATAATATATGTTAGAGTCAGACACCAACGATCAGGATGACTAGTAATTTACATTCTGAAATTGGTGAGGATGTTAGGATGTTTTGTTGCTAACCACCATTACCTTTGACCTATGAAACGAAAGAAGGAAGAGTGTTTAAAATCTTAGGTTTTAATTTGATAAGAAGGAAGAGTCCATCATCAGGACCTATTGTTCTTTTGTATTTTTTTTGCTAAAAATAAGTTCATCCTTTTCTGGCACTTCAGTTTTTGTTAAATGATCTCATAGTTTAACTTGCCAACCTGCACTGTTAGGTCGTTCGTTTGTACAGAAGGAAGTGGATTGAAGAACACACATATCCTCATTTTACTATGATAGGACAAAGTCTTGGTTCAGTGTATCTTTCGTGGGAGGCTCTGTGCAAATTCACACCTCAATTCTATTTTGATACTAGTGGTTATGCTTTTACCTACCCACTTTCTTGGATTTTTGGGTGCAAAATTATTTGCTATACTCACTATCTGACCATCAGCTCGGATATGGTTTCTCGTGTTCTCCAGCACAGCTCATTGTACAATAATGATTCTCTAATTGCTAGCAGGTATTTGAATAGATAGTATCTTCAATTGACAGCAGAAATAGTTGCTTCCTTGATGTTTGAAATCTTTATCTCTAGCAATTTGTTTATAAGAACTGGTACAGCTTAGACCTTTGTTCTTGATCATGTTCATGAGCTAAGTTCTAAAAATAGTTGCTTATTTGGTGTCCTAAGCTACCTGTAAACGTATGTTGTTTTGGCAATTGAGTATCACTCTAAAATCTGTTTCACAAGATATGACTCCTGGTGATGTTGCTTAAAGGTCATGTTTGTTAAATTTTTATTGTTAAATGGACACACTTTCTGCTTTAACCTCTGGATGCAACTTTCTTTGTAAGTTCTAGTTAATCTGTACTATATTTTCTTAGAATTGTGTTATGACATGACATTTGGTTTATTCAACAATAACGGGAGTTTTTTAAACAAATTGGAGCACACATATGAGAACATGGTCATTCTTTTTACTCCATGTCCTGCTTTTTCCTAGTGCTTATTCTGTATTGTATGTATGTCATAATTTATTTGCAACCAATTTCCGTGTAAATATTTTATGCGATAAACACTGCTTGTTATTGTTCTCCACTTTGTAGACGAGGTCAGAATGCTGATACTCTGACTTAAAAGAAATAAATAAGCATTAAATTGCATGGATTTGGCTGTTTTTGTATAGGAAATCTAGTCTTGGATGGACTAAGCAGAAATCTTTTTTTATTTGACTAGTGGTGCTAATCATCTTATGTCTTCTTTACTTGTGAGACAGCATTCTGCTATCAAGGTGCAAAGTGGTGTACTATACAATATTTAGTAGGTTGTATGGGTTGGTGGGATCCTATGCACATCTTGCAATGGTAAGTTCCTCATGGACCAGATCACATATAGATTGTATGTGGAAGATTCCTCAACGCACTAAGAGATTGTACCCTCCCTGTGATACTTCATCCCTGCAGGTATATATTTAGTTCTTGTAAATTGTCAGCCTGGCTTATAGCTGACTGATGCTTAACAATTTTAGCATGCATGACAAATTTCCAAGCCAATTATATTTAATTTTGATGTCTTATTTCTTTACAAAACCAACTTTAGAGAGTTAAGTTTCACGGTTTAACTAAATTTGTCTTATTGCCTGCAATTGTTTAAAAGAATTAGCAATTTGGACATTTCAAAACATCCTATATTATCATCTGGCTCCATTTAATTGTTCACTGCTAGAGATTTATTCAACCATCTTTGATGAAAGAAAGTCCTGAATGTCCAAGCAGATGCTTCCTCTGGAAAAGCCAGTTAGGAGTCCTGTGATCATATCAGTTGCCCAGTTTCGCCCAGAGAAGGTAATGTCTGTGAATGCCCTCATCATGTGGTCATATGGTTAGTTGATTTCACAATATTAACTGTAACACTTGATTCTCATCAAGGCTCATAGCCTTCTGCTGGAAGCATTGCACATGCTGTTGGAATACTAGATCAGGGCATGCCTAGACCAAAGCTCCAATTTGTGGGTAGCTGTCAGAATAAGCAGGATGAAGAAAGATTGCAGAAGCTCAAAGAGAGATGCAGGGAACTAAATTTGGATAATTTTGTGGAGTTCCGCAGGGATGCTATGTATAGGTTCGATCTGCAGTACTAGTTTTCTTTCAACTTGAAAATTCCTAGCTGCTAGTATATTTAAAGTTTTGGATTCCCTTTCTTGTCTCTAGATTTGTTTTCACTGTACACAACTAACAACATTCTCTGGTTTTTTCTTAAATTTTAGTGGATCTAAAACAGAGTTAGTGACATCTACATTTTTGTTTAGATGCACCAAGTAGAATTTCCCATATAAGGACTCCATTATCCTTTATATACTGTTTGGTTTTGTGCTACCCTTTTATGTTATTGACTAATCGAAGCATATCCAGAAAAAGCGTAATGAGTAGCTTGATGCTGGAGATGTGCAGGAGGATAATGACTTCAACATTCCATATGTTCCTTCTTTGGCTCTTTTTATTCTAGAAGACCCAGGGTTATTTACTAAAACAAAGCTGAACTTATAAAGTTTTAGTGGATCTTTCTTTTCTACCCTTACGGAAACCAGAGGTCAGTTCCATAGTTTGCAGGTGGAGATGTACGACGACAGATTTTCACTCCACCATTAGCATGGATGGAACTCCCGTTAATGGTCTACTCATTTGTCTGCCATGTCAGAACTTTGACCAATGGTCAATTTGAAGTTCCAGTGGAATCGATCTAGAACTGTTCTAAGAAATACCATTCTTTCAACTAGTTTGACAGTCTCCTGCAAACTACAACTGACCCATTAATGCACGACTGAATATAATGTCCAAAGGATAACAAGTTATTGGATACCTTCAAACTCGAGGGAATATCAAAGGTCTTCTGAGAGAGGGAACAAGAAAGTTTTAGATTCAATCTAATCGTGGCTATGCATCGGAGGTGAAACTTTGACATACTATTCGCAGAACATGCGATTTTGGATGTCAGCATATGCCTGAACTTTATGTCTAGTAGTTCTTGAGACTGGAGAGGAATCTTCAGTACATTTTCTAATCCTCTACTACCGCCAGTGCACAAATGATACACAGTTTCTTCTATTGTATGCCATGTTTACAGCTGGTCTCTTTGAATTGTTCACCGTAACAGGGACTTGGTCCAACTTCTGGGAAGTGCTGTTGCCGGACTTCACTCCATGACTGATGAACATTTTGGAATTAGTGTTGTAGAGTACATGGCATCTGGTGTGATACCAATTGGTTGGTGCATGTGAGCTCCCATCCTACTGTTTATCCAAAAGCTACGCATGTTATCCACTGACAAATACTTTTCTTCCCATCAGCTCATAATTCAGCAGGTCCCAAGATGGACATAGGTTTGAATGAAGGTGGACGTCAAACAGGATTTCTAGCATCAAACAAAGAGGAATATGCTGAAGCTATCCTCATGGTGATTAAGATGCCAGAGGCAGAAATACTAGCAATAGCTGCAGCTGCTAGAAAGCATGCTCAAAGGTGTTCAGAGCAGAAATTCTTCGAGGACTTCCAAGGCTGCAGTTCAGCCTATCCGATGATACTGTATTCTTATCCGATGATAACATTTTCCATGCATGCTGAACATGGAAAAGAAAATTATTACCTAGAGAACAACACCGATTTTTGATAGATTTAGTAATGGTGATGACTATTTTATCAACGACTCTTAGCAACTGGAAGTAATACTTGGCATCAGAAGTTGTTTGTGCTTCAGCTGCAATTGATGCCTAATGTTAATTTGAACTGTATTGATAATTAGCCATAGGCTAACAATTTGTAAACTATATGTATATAACTAATGTAGCTTCTTGGAATTGTTGCAGCTTTACATCCTTTTTGAGGAAATCCAAGCCAAGTTTTCTGGTTAGACGATTATGTGGGTATATTTGCAAATAATACTTCTATGTATCTCTTTTCCAAAAAAATATATATTTTTTGAGGATATATTTGTTATCATCACTGAGTTTGAGAGTAATTTTCTTGTGTTAAGGCTTGTTCTTGGGTTATATTCAAACTGATACTTTTTGTTGGAATTATTCTGTTTCAATTTTATATTTTTGTTGTAGAATATTCCTTTTTCATTTGTTTGCCTTTATAATTATTAAAAGGCTACATTTAAAATATAAAAATTTAACATATTATAATGATATATTTTTTAAATTTTTAATCGGGAAAAAAATTAAAATTGTTAAAATGATGCATTTTGTTTAGTGATATCTGAGAATTAAGATATATATAGATTTGATTTGTTTAGTGAGGGACGAAACCTAAGCCGTAATCATATGTCATTCTTGAGGATCCAAAGTCAACACTCAAACCTCATTCTCGTGTAAAAAATTTAACGAAAAGAAAAGAGAATCTTTTGAAACTTCTCTCAAAAAAGACGGCCCAATGGCTAACGTCGTTTTTGGCTCATACGGAATACAAGGAATAGGAATAATCAATGAGATCTAATTACATATATTTATTTTGATTTTTAGAATTAAAAATTTTATAGTAAAATTTATATAGTTATAAAAGTGAAATATTTAGTTCTATTTATCCTAGTATCGTTAATTTTACCGACAGAATCATAAAAATAATGAGAGAAAATATAATTTTAACATTCCAATTATGTTTTTGATATTGGCGGACGACAATGTCGCTAGGACTGCGAGCGATTATTGTGGATGAGAAGGGAGAGTGACGATGTTGACGCTTTACATTTGTATCGGTATCGTTCGGTAATTGCATCAGCACCGACGTAGATGTAGAACAACAAAAGGGTTATTCAGTATCTACTTTGTCACTCGGATACATAGGGCAATGCAATTATCATGCGACACCGACGCAAAGCAATGTCGCCCTTCCTTACATCGTTGTCAGTGCCAACAAAGATACTCTGCATTTGCATCTACGTCAATGTAGATGTCGAGTAACCCTTTCGTCGCTTTGCATATGTGTCGATGCCATTATCGACATCTGCATCGTCCTCTTTCTTCTTACCTTTTGCCTCAATTTTTATTGTGGCTCTCTCTTCTCATCCGCAACAGTTATCTGTGACCTCAGCATCATCACTATCCTTCATCATTAAAAACATAATCAAAATGTTAAAATTATTATTTTGCCTATCATTTTCGTGCTTTCGTCGGTAAAACCGACGATGTTATGATAAATAAAATTAAATATTTAACTTTTATAACTATAGAAATTTAAATATAATTTTTTAAATCTAAAGATCGAAATATAAAAAAGTTTAACTGTTGGATAATTTATAATTAGCCTCTCGGTCGTGACAATCATGTCTCATCCTGTTGGTATAGACGAATTCTTCACTACCTGCTGGGATAAGCAGGTAGGAGTCATCCTAACTGATGGAGGTAGGAATCCAAATCTTCAAAGCACCCACTGCAATATTTAAATGTTAGCACGCACGAGGGCAACGAGTTACTCATTGTTGATGATCGATAATGGTGTGGAGGCATTATCCCATGGCGCTTAAAGGCAACCTCTGTCGGCAACCATTTCAGGCAAACCTTTCATCCTCGGACGACATATCATGATGGCCGACGACGACTCCTCTCTCCCTCTCCGCTCTTATCTTCTCTTCTTATCCCTCTCTTCCTCTTGTTCGCATTCCCGTCATTTATGAATTCTTCGCTACCTGCAGGGATAGGAGTCATCCTAACCGATGGAGGTGGGAATCCAAAGCACCCACTGCAATATTTAAATGTTGGCAAGCGGTCAACGAGTCACTCAATGATGATGATCGATAATAGTATCGACACAAGGAGGCATTATCCTATCTGCTGGGATAGGAGTCATCCGAAACGATGGAGGTGGGAATCCAAATCTGTCAAAGCACCCACTGAAATATTTAAATGTTGGCACGCGGGAATCGAGTTACTACTCATTGTTGATGATCGATAATGGTGTCGACTCAAGAAGGCATTATCTCATCGCGCTTAAATGCAACCTCTGTCGTCAACCATTTCATGCAAAACTTTCATCCTCGGACGACATACCATGGCCGACGCCTCCTCCTCTCTCCCTCTCCTCTCTTCTCTTCTTATCCCTCTCTTCCTCTTGTCCGCACTCCTGTCATGGCGATGGACCAAGAGTGTTCGCAAAAACCTCCCGCCGAGCCCCCCTTCGTTCCCCGTCATCGGCCACCTCCACCTCATCGCCAAGCTCCCGCCTCATCGCGCCTTGGCTGCCATCGCCGCCGCCCGCGGCCCCGTCGTACTTCTCCGCCTCGGATACCGCCCCGTCCTCCTCGTCTCCTCCGCTCCCGCCGCGGAAGAGTGCTTCACTGCTCACGACGTCGCCTTCGCCAATCGCCCCAACCTCCTCGTCCCTGAGATGTTAGGCTTCGTCTGCACAACCATGGGCTTTACCCCCCACGGCCCCCACTGGCGCGACCTCCGACGCATCTACGCCGTTCACCTCTTATCCTCGGCCGCCCTTCGCTCCTCCTCCGACTCACGGACCCGCGCGGTCCGGTCGCTCGCTAAGGCCCTCTTCCTCCAGCCCGGAGATTCTGAGCCGGACGGTCCGCGGCGGGTGGAGATGAAGTCGAGGTTCTTCAATCTGGCGTACGACGTGATAATGACGATGGTGAGCACGGCCCTCAAGGAGGGGTCCGCGGAGGAGAGGCAGCGTTTCCGGGAGATAGTGCAGGAGACGTCTGCGGTGAGCGGGGCGGCAAACGTGGCGGACTTCTTTCCGGCGCTGCGGAGGCTGGGGTGGCGCGGACCGGAGAGGAAGCTCGCGAGGCTCCAGCGGACCAGAGACGCACTTATCGGAGAACTGATCGAGCGTCATCGCGTCCGCCGGCCTCGGAGTGGCAGCAACGGAGAGGCAGCGGCGGCGATAGGGAACGGAGATAAGGGGAGGGCAACGGTGATCGACGTGATGTTGTCTTTGCAGGAGAGCGATCCGGGAACTTACACCGACGTCACCATTAAGGGCCTCATTGCGGTACGTGTCGTTTCTTCGGTACTCGTAATCTTGCGGTTATGTTCATCTCTCCCCGTTTCGACTCACGACTAAAGTTCATTGAGGGACGCAGAGCGGTAATAGAAGCGGGATTACATCCCTCGCCACAAGTCAGCTGTGATGTCGAGCAGCTCTATGCTATTAGTAACAATAATTAAGTTATAAGAATTAGTAAATAATCATTTATTTTGTATTCACTAATTCCTAAATAGTAAATAATACACACACTACTATCATGTGTAGGAATTACTGGCAGCAGGAACAGACACGTCGGCCGTCACCATGGAATGGGCCATGTGCCTCCTGCTCATCCACCCCGAAGTCCTGCACACGGCGAGGGCCGAGCTCGATGCCAAGATCGGCCTTGGGCGGATGGTGGAAGAAGAAGACATCCCCAATCTCCCCTACCTCAACTGCATCATCTATGAAACCCTCCGGCTGTACCCCGCTGTGCCGCTCCTGGTGCCCCATGAGTCTTCCCAGGACTGCACCGTCGGTGGCTACGACGTGCCTCGCGGCACGATGCTTTTGACGAACGCGTGGGCCATCCACAGGGACCCTAACACATGGGATGAACCCGAGGAGTTCAAGCCGGAGAGGTTCCAGTGCGAGGGAGGGAAGGAGGAGGCAGGGCTTAGGATGCTTCCGTTCGGGTCCGGGCGGCGCAAGTGCCCCGGGGAAGCCCTCGCCATGCGAGTGATCGGGCTGGCACTCGCGACCTTGATCCACTGTTTCGAGTGGGAGAAGCTTCCGGGGGAGGAGGTGGACATGACTGAACGGCCGGGGCTATCCATGCCAAAGGTAAAGCCATTAGAAGTCGTGTGCACGCCACGCCACACCATGCTTCATGCCCTTTCACAGCTCTGAGAGTTGGCAAACAGTCTGGCAAATACGTTCCTCCTGTCAGAAAGCTGCTTGTGAGTTCGCTGTCTGATACGTGTGCTTTTGTGGTTATCCATGCTTTTATTCGCGTTGGTTGGCGTCTTACTTGTGTTTGTGGCCTAATTAATAATTTACAGGCTGAGACAGGTATGACCGTCACTTGTATTATCGTACTCCATATAAATCTAGTAATTTACATGCAGTGTCATCCTATTTGAGTGTCCTTTACATCAATTGCGGCAAATCCACCGACCCTGACGTGCAATACCTCATTAGTTCTAACACCAACGCCTTGTCCACTCGCATCCACCGCTCTCATAAGGGCCCTATCATATTCTGATCTTTCTCCATGCATCCGTAAGCACAAATGTTGGCACCCTTCTCAACTTTACACCGTTTGATAGGGGTAAAAACAAATATGGTGCAACATACCGGATTTAACATAACACCGCCCGCTGTCAGCCTCAACCAGACGGCTCACTGCCCCAGCAGACGAACATTAATGTCAGCATGACGCGCACCCTCGCTAGCCATACCCAGACCACGCACGCCCGGACGTGGCAGGAGAAGGCGTCGACCAAGGCTCACCATACCCTACTGTCACGGACAAACTTCTTAACAAAATGTTGGATGTAATGCTTATGTGTGTCCGTGTCTTTTGGCATGTTCATGCCCTGTACAGAATGTAAAGGGGCGGCCAAAGGCTTATAAGTCCCATTTTAGTTGGGTGGTGGCCTCTTTAGGCTTGTAAATAAAGGTTGTGTCATG